TTTTTCTCTAATGTTGGTAAAGATACTGCAGCAAGTATAGGGCCCTCAAACAGTACTCCCCGGGAGTTTTTAAGTAAAATGCCAGAAGTAGCTAGTTCTATCTTCCTTCAACCTGTAAATAATGAAGAAATCTTAAAAATAATTTCTTCATTGACAGATTCTGCTGCCGGCTCAGATAATATCAAGCCAAAAGTAATTAAATTAAACAGTCATCTGATAAGCTCACCACTTGCTTATATTATCAATCTGTCATTTATGCAGGGTATATTTCCAGATGATTTAAAATTTGCAAAAGTCATTCCTATTCATAAAAAAGATCGCAATGACATATTTACACATTACCGACCTGTATCTCTTCTGTCTGTATTCTCTAAAATTTATGAAAAATGTATGTCTCACAGGTTGCTTGATTTCTTAGAGAAACAAAACATCTTATACGAACATCAGTATGGTTTTAAGAAGGATCACTCAACATTCATGGCTGTTTTAAAATTTGTTGAATCAGTACGCCTTGCCTTAGAAGATCACAAATATTCCATAGGATTAATGTGTGACCTGTCTAAAGCTTTTGATTCATTAAATCACAATATATTGATGCAAAAATTAAATTATTATGGTATTCGGGGAACTGCCTCCGATTGGTTTCAAAGTTATCTTTCAAAAAGATCCCAGGTGGTACAATTTGAAGGGGAAACATCTGATATTGTTGAATTATCATGTGGTGTTCCACAAGGAACAATTCTAGGGCCTCTTTTGTTTATTATTTATATAAATGACCTTTACAGATCTTCAGAGGCTGCAGAAATGTTTCTATATGCAGACGATACAAATATACTATTTTCTGGTAACAATCTTGATGACCTCAATACCACAGTAAATGAGGAACTTTCTGTAATTAATGAATGGTTTAAGTGCAACAAACTCGCATTAAATCCAACAAAAACAAATTATATCTTATTCAGGTCTCCAAAAAAAGTAATTGAACATGAAAAAATAAAAATCTACATGAATAACTCACTTTTAGATAGAACTATAGTTGGAAACTTTCTTGGCGTACTTATAGATGAAACATTATCGTGGAAACCTCATATTAAACACATTGAAACAAAAATTTCAAAAACATTAGGTGTACTTCATAGGGTAAAATTCAATTTAGATGGTAAAGCTTTGAAAACAATATATTATTCACTTATTTATTCATACTTGAACTATAACTGCATAATTTGGGGGACTGTCCCTCCATCTTATTTGACCAAGTTACACAGACTACAGAAACAATTTATTCGAATTTTCGATATAAACTGCCAACCTAGAGATCACACACTCCCACATTTCAAAAGAGCCAATATCCTGAATGTATTTCAAATAGTGTACATGAATATTGCAGTTTATGTTTTTAAATGCATTAAAGGTGTAAACAAACCCTGTAAGAGGCAATTCAAATATTATTTTACTCCTAGTAATGAAATTCATGATCATTCCACAAGACAAGAATATAAACTTCGACCAGCAAAGTATAGAACTGATATTGGAAAATTCTCGATATGTAAACAAGGAACTGATATATGGAATGATGTACCTGGAGATTTACTTCGAATCAATTCTGTATCACACTTTAAGACAAAACTGAAGCAATATTTAATAAATCATAAACCATTGGTCTAAATGGAAGAACAAGGAAATAACAATAACAAATCAGTAAATTCAATAGTGCATCTTTCCTTCAACATTATCATATCAAAGCAAAAGTTATGATTAAAGGCATAACTAAACATTCAGTGTTGAAGATGACCACAAAATTAACATATATCAATAAACATGACCTTAAACTGACCCATACTATTCAGTTTATCCTGAGACACATTTCTGGCACTCGATCAACTGTTCTTTTTCTAAAGGCATCGTACATGTGGTTGTGGGAGGGGGGACTGAGGTGGAGATGGGGTTCAGTGGTGTGTAGACATTTTGTAATTTTTTTTTTCATTATTTTACGTTGTAATATGGATAATACTCCCATTAGGGGGTCTTCCATCTTATTTGATGTATATGATTTTATTATAAACTGAAATAAAACAATAACATAACATAACATCTTATAATGTATAACTGTTACTCAGACACATATTTTGACACGATTCTGTTGGAAATAAGCTTTGAACCGAGAGATATTCACGATTGATATGCACATTTTTGATTGTGCCATTGCTTTTCTATTGCACAACCCATGTATTGATAGAAGAAACATTAATAATACAGATTGGTTTACCTTCAATACATGGCAGACACTACATATCGGTCTATTAATACCAGTTTGTGCCTTAAATAGTTTTATATTTCCATCCACGGCCTGGAGCCTGGGTGTGTTTGTCTCTTATGTGTATGCTTGTGCATGGACTTCTAATCACTAGCAGAATTTAACATGATGCAAACTCGACATTATTATCTCATGCTGTAACATTTTGACTTCGCTGGAAAACAATAGGAATTATTTTTCTTGCCAATCAATCATGAATCACAATCAAAATTTCAGAATGATCAATCAGGCAATGATCCAAATCAAGTTATGTGACATTATATGATATTCAGCAAGAAGTCCGGTAGAAATACAGAATATTTAAACATCAAAGCTAAAAGTTAAAAGCTAATCTGTCAATTTTCTGTCTGCAAAAGAGCGTCCCAAGAGCGTTTACATTTGACACAATAACAGACTGAGGCTTTGAAATCTAGGATTGCCCAGGAAAATATGACGTCATACTAATTAGCATAAGGATTTCTCTATTGGTGTGGGTCGAGCCTTGTTCGAAAACACAATCCATAAATACATGCTAATTTCTAAGGAGATAGGAAGTGTATAACGTGTTTATCGATTTTGTTTAAAGATTTAATCAATTATCAAATTGTTTAAGTGGATAAAGTGGTCACACTTGCTTCAATTCATAGCGAAATCGACGGATAGAAACTGACCGAATTCCCGATATCCTACCCCGTATTACTGTAGGCTATAAGCACAGTGACCTACAGAGGGCGCTATCACAAACAAGTACTGGACGAACCGATAAATTCCCGGGTATTGTAACGCCCTTGGATGGTCCAGATGGATGATAAAAACATATTTTCAAACTTTACATGGGGTCTTCAAGTCTTGTGATTTCTTCAAAGTTCAACTCTTTATGGCGTCAACAAAAATTTAAACCTTTCTCTGCGAGATGTGATGAAATGAGCGAATTCATCCATGTATTAAGGAAAATATATAGCCCATTGCAGGTTCACTTTTGGACCACCCTGGACCCACTGTGATCTACAGGCTCGTACCCAGGGGGGGGATGGGTGCTCGTTCGAGAGCTCAACCTACCTCTTGCTTTTCAAAATTCAACATTTTTGGCCCCTTCCTCTTTGTTTTGTATTGTTAAAACAGACGGCCGTTTACTGTTTACATTACGAAGGAGTTGGTTTAGCATGGGCATTTTTATGACGTGTGCGCTCTAACCCACCCCCACCACACCTCTACCAAAAGCTGGTTATGGGCATGATCTATATGTACATTGATTTATTTTAAGTGTGACTTGCTATGACTTTTGAATCTCATGGTAAAACCAGTCAACAACCTAACCGTGATGTGTAAATGAACAGTGAAATGAACATATGTTCACTACGGAGGGCTTTCAAAAACGTTTGCTCTTTATCTTAATCAAACCAAGCTATATTTTCAAAATATGCTACGTGAGCTTTTTACAATAATGTATGACTCAAATGGCATAACTTAGACCTAACACTTCTCGCGAGATACTGATACTTCGAGACTTGTCGAGATTAGAATCGATGATATTCCAAAAAAACGATCCCATATTGGATCCTGTATCAGCCATGATCCTTGATCCCGTATCAGATTTTAGGTACTATCAGAACTTCCCGGGAATTTTGCTTGATTTTCACATTTTTCGTTCTACTTTAAAAGAGTAGCAATCTAACGAACATTTGCCATCTACTTTTTAGATAATATACTAATAAAAGACATAGATTAGAGACATATCAGGCAGATTTAAGCATTTGAGTGACTATTTAGAAGTTTGAAAAGTACAAATCATAAAGGCAATACAATACTTCAGATTTAATGATAAAAAATGATAGCGAATTCCTGCTCTAGGCAGTCATTTTGAATTTTCTAAGGTACGAATCAGGAAAACAATACCATAATTGTAATCTACTCTAAAATCCCTTCAATTTGAGTGTAATATAGGGACCCCAATATAGCCATATAATCGGGAAATTATTGCGAAATCACACATTAGGCGGCCATTTTGAATTTCTCAAAGGACAGAATCAGAAAAACGATACAATTATTTGCAATCTACTCTAAATTCCCTTTCATTTAAGTATGATAAAACTGTACTGCAGAAGGATCTAAAAATTAACGAAAATTCCTGTATTCCCAACCCCCTTTACACGGCCCCTGGGGTCAAACTAAAAAACACGGAACATATATATTAAATATGGTTAATTGGAAAGATGTATTGTTGGTACGTTAGAGGTGAAACTTAATAAGTGTAGTGTAACTTCATATTTGTGTGTGTTTTTCAGAAAACTATTGAAACATGTTAAACACCATTAAAAAGGTCATTCATTATCACGCATTGCTATCAGTTTTGGGATGGAGTACGTAATTAATTTACTTGTTCAAAACTAGACCAACAGCTCCAAGGAGTAGCAAATCCTACCGAACAAAACATGTCTTCTCAATCATTCAAATCGTTAGTAGATTGTCTCTTATTTTGGCAAATTACACTCATAATGCACAAAAATGAAAAATAGGTCCTAAACACATGTTGCATGAGCCTATAAAATCTCAAGCAAATCTAACTACTGGTATTTGAGTAATCTGCAGAATAAATTGATGAAAACCGGACAGACAAACAGGTAACTTCTATATATCCCTATATGAATATCATCACGATGGGTTTTGAGCCAATCCTAGCTTAAATTAAACATAAAGTCCTGTTCCCCAAGATCCTTCACATTGACACAATGATTGCTCTCCTGCTAAGTTTGGTAGCTGCGGGTAAGGATACATGAATTGTAATGTCATCAAAGTTTGCATCGGAATCGAAATGAACGTTACGAGAGATGAATCACGAAATGTGCCTTTTTGGTTTTTATCACTGTCATAATTATACACAAGGAGGATTGGCTCCCAGAATCGAAGTCGATATTTTCCAACAATGAAAACGCCAAAATGTCGTTTTGAAATTATAACCGATTATGAATTCAATAAAAACACTTCAAATGATGCGAACCAATATCTCGATCATTTCTTGTGAGTTTTGGAAGTTTTCGTCAAGAAATAAGACCAAATTTCACGATTCAAATGTTGAAGTGAACAAAATGGCGGCTGTCGGAATTCGAACTTTGTAGCACGACATCCGGGACAGAATATCGATGTTGCACTCTGGGAGCCAATCCTCCTCGAGGTGACATGTATTAGAATAAGACAACTCGTGGTTGTTTAAGATATCATTATGAGATATGCAGAGATGGCCATACTGATCCATATTATGAACAATATAATATATAATATATTATAGCAATATCACATGATGAAGAGTGTGATCAAATAATATTGTATGGATTGTATCATATTCATTTATAAGACTGACCATTATAAATAAATAAACTAAAATATAAGATTTAACTGGGTCATTGAAATCTATGTTCAGCTCATTGAACACATCAGTCGTATACTGTGTAAAGGAGTGGTATCGGTATGGTGAACTCTTTGAACACACATTTCTCTTAAACAATTCATCAAAAAATTCTGAATAATTTACACATTGTCAATTTAATGGTCATCTTTTGGATGGTAACATAATAATTTAAAATTTATACTTCTGAAAACGAGAATAGACGACTACGATCACTGATTTATCCAATAAAATGGCCGCGATGGAACAGAAAACTAAGGTTGGTGCATTATTTTCTTCTACAGTGTATCAATGAAAGGATGAAGGATTTTTGTAGGCATCATATTCTGTAGTGCATTTAGTAATATATATTTTGAACGTTTTCTTTGCAAATTGATGCCCGGGGATAACATGAAATAAGCGAAGAACTGTTGAGTTTGAAATTCAAAACTACACAAAATTTAGTAATTTGTTTATTTTTGTCGTTAGGGCATGGTCTACTTTGCCTAACGACGTCGGGGTATATAGATGTAACCTACATACGATCATAAAAAGCCAACTGAGCATGGGAAACCACCTAATATATTCTACTTAAGCCATAATATTGTAATTTTAATTTGCGGTTACGCAAAAAATTGATTGACGGTTACGCGAACCTCGTTCAAATATGTATCCCAGATTCATTGTTATTAATTTTGTCATATTTATCAGTACTTGATGCTAATTCTTCTTTTGCCTCTTCATTGCTATCTTTTTGACTTAAATTGGTTTCATGAATAAAGCAAGACACAATTTTTTCTTTGTCATAACGACATTGCGTTTGAAACCTTTAATTATTTACAATATGACCGACGTTCCTGTTCTGGATTTGTCATTTTATGGCTTGTTTATACAGAGTTTACTTACTGTTAATAGTTTGAGTGGCTCTTAGGCACATATACTGGGAAAATACGAAAATGGACTAAAAATTATGAACTTGGATATCTCAGTCGGTAGGTTTACAGCTTATATTCTGCTTCTTGTAGATCACCTGGCAGATTTGACTCAGTCTTTATAACCATCCATATATATGTCATCGAATGGAACTAGTTAAAAAGGAAATCTTATCTGTTAATCTTGCCCACAGGCGAGAAAGAGGGCATGCTGCCTTTCCAATCCGCCATTTTTTTGTTATCGTTACCGCAAGATTTTGCAAATCGCCTTGTCGTAACCGTCATGCTATAACACCGTGGTAATAGGCCTATGTGTACATACAATTGAATATATTATGATATTACTATGTTGCATTTATTTGCACAAAAATATATTTTCTTAATGATTAATCCATACAATACACCGAGTAATCAACATTTTGCGATCTACCTGTCCTTCAAATGACCCTGTGATGCTCCTACCATCTGCAGCACCGAGTGAACCTATGCCAGCATATTTCAACTGGGCTTGACCATTCCTTGTATGTTGGGAAGTGTCCACTCCTAGTACCGATGCATAAATATATGTTTTATACTCCTAGCATCTGCTGTACCGAGTGAACCCGTGCCAGCATTTTTCAACTCTAGACCATTCCTTGTGTGTGGAGAAGTGTCCACTCCTAGTACCGATGCATAAATATATGTTTTATACTCCTAGCATCTGCTGTACCGAGTGAACCCGTGCCAGCATTTTTCAACTCTAGACCATTCCTTGTATGTGGAGAAGTGTACACTCCTAGTACCGATGCATAAATATTTGTTTTAAACCCCTAGCATCTGTTGCACCGAGTGAACCCGTGCCAGCATTTTTCAACTCTAGACCATTCCTTGTGTGTGTAGAAGTGTACACTCCTAGTACCGATGCATAAATATTTGTTCTAAACCCCTAGCATCTGTTGCACCGAGTGAACCCGTGCCAGCATTTTTCAACCCTAGACCATTCCTTGTGTGTGTAGAAATGTCCACTCCTAGTACCGATGCATAAATATTTGTTTTATACTCCTAGCATCTGCTGCACCGAGTGAACCCGTACCAGCATATTTCAATCCCGGACCATTCATTGTAAATGGAGACATTGCCGATGCTCATGAGTTCCCACATCAGCTGTCTCTTCAAAGTGGAACATCGCATATCTGTGGTGCTGTCCTTACCCATCCAACATGGGTAATTACTGCTGCCCATTGCGTGACTTCGTAAGTTCTTATATGCACAGAGCCGTACCTTTGAAACCTTGGGCTTCGTCACGTTCACACTATCAAAATGAAATGGACTTTTGAAGCTCTTTGAGTCTAATGCCTCAGTCACATTTGATCTACGGTAATCGGATGGCTGCCGGAGCTTCCCCAAATCGTAAGAAATATGCACCATAAAGCTACGGCCGCCTTACGACCACCGTAGAGCAAATGCGACTGAAGCTATTAACAACATATTTCATCACTAAGCTGATCGACTCAAAATGAAACACTGCTGTTCTTCGAAGGCAATATGGCCTCGCAGGGGCGGATCTGGGAACGAACAGGGGGGGATGATTTAAAGTCTGAGAAAAAAACTTTTGGGCCCCTCTAACCAAAAAGTGTGCCCATATTTTTAAATTTTGAGACTTATTTTCTTCTAAATTTGGCCTAAAATGTAAAAATAATGCCTTGAAACGAATAAGTAAATGCTGTGCTAAATATGTCCTGTGAATTTATTTGATATGAACATAAATCGGTTGTACGCCTAAACTTATGGCTGCAAGACAAAATAAATTAGCGTTACCCAGTTACATACTGAGTGAAATCAATACATTCATGTTGTGTAACCATTTCATTGTAAAATGTTTTAAAAATATATGAATAGATAAATAATAAAATGGTGGCCAATGACTTACAAAAAATAAATTATCCTCTGTGTTTTTTCCAAAGGAGTGGATACCGAGTTGTTGCTGGAGCTACCGAAAGGAACAGATATAGTGCCAGTGGACAAGAACAGGTTTCAGATGTTGCCGAAGTTATTATGGTATGTTAAATTAATCAAAAACACTTGAAGTAATTTCTAATTTAAAGGCACAATCTGATCTATAGGGGGTGACAAAATTACAAGCAACATGTATACTTGACCTACAAATCTATTCCTTACAATATCAAATACAATACCTCCCAAAAGACTCACGGTATGTTATAAATTGGTGAAGTTATAAATGATTCAAAGTGCAAAAATGGGTCAAAAATGTTTAAATTCCCCCAAATAAAAAGAATGGTAACCATTCTTATAGAAAAATAATACATTATTGTAAAAATCTTTAGTTTTCCTGGATTAAAGTATGCACTTTTGTGATTTCTAGAAAATAGACATGACAAGGAATGACACGAGTCAAAAATATTCTAAAATTGAAACAATTTTTTGTTTAGCCTGCTCGCTATATCTGATTCTCTCTTTAAATCTCAGATTAGTAGTGCAATGATAAGTCGAATGTATGGGATTAAAGGGAGAGAGAGAGGTAATATTCGAAATGGCAAAATAATGTTAGTGGTATTCGAACATATTTTGCCATTTTATATCAGAATATTAATAATTTGACGACATATGACACGCATTATTTTCATTTTGTCCAGCATCCGGATTTCGTCCAGGATGGTTCACGTGGCTTCCCCAATGACATCGCCCTTCTGCGCCTTGCAACTCCGATTAATCTCAACTTTGCCCGTGCCACGATCCCACTCGCAAGTGGAAGTACTGACTTCGCTGGCCAACTTTGTGATATCTCGGGATGGGGTGACGTCACTGCGGGAGACGGAATTTCTGCAACATACCTAAGGAAAGCGACTCTTTCAATACTGAGTAATTTTGAATGCGGCCTTTACTGGAGCCAAATTCGACAGTCTTACCACATCTGTATTTACGATAGCAGGGATAGACAGGGGTCTTGCCAGGTATAAAACAAAATTATTTCCGCATGATTTTAAGATGATGAGAGATTTTCATTAAAACGTGTATGTTTCATATGGAATTCAAATTTATATCTGTATTAATATTACTGAGACAACGCATGAATGGTTAATAATCGGTATAATGTCAAAATATCAAGAAAATTAAGGTGGCTAACATACAATAGAGGAATGCATTATACGTCATGAGAACGGTATCATGGGAACATCTGTTTTTACGATAGCAGGGATAGACAGGGGTCTTGCCAGGTATAAAACAAAATTTTAAGATGATGAGAGATTTTCATTACGTGTATGTTTCATATAGAATTCAAATTTATATCTGTATTAAATATTACTGGGACAATGCATGGATGGTTAATAATCGGTATAATGTGGACACAAATATATCACAGAAAATTAAGGTGGCTAAACATACGATAGAGGAATGCATTATACGTCATGGGAACGGTACCATGGGATCAGCTAAGTTTGAGGCAGCCCAGCAATGGCCTCGCGAAACTTTGAAAGAAAAAAATAGACATTTTCACACTTAGCGACATTCCCTGTACACCTACACGTACGAGGGATGATCATAAAGTTTTTATAACTTATCTCTCCAATTTCTTTATTTTTTAATATATTCTAACGAAATGTTCACCGAATAAGCCGCTTTCAATTACAAATTAATTCAGCAAAAATATTATAACAGAAATGTTTAATTAGAAATGGTTGCTATGGTAACCCAAATCAGGGTAACTATGGTTACTTACATTTGTTGTGCTTGTAGGGAGACTCAGGTGGGCCGATGACATGCTCAGAGGGAGGACAGGACGTAGTTGCTGGCGTGACGAGCTGGGGAGTCGTCGGATGTTTGGGAATGCCAAATGTATATACAAGAGTAGCCACATATAGGTCATGGCTATGCAGCAACAGCCAAGGAAATGTTGGCTGCTAATAACACGTGGTTCTTACTAGTATATAGTGCTGCATTTTACTAATGAAATAAATTAAACTCCCGTTTTCATCATGCTAAGAAAATGTGCAGTTAAAATGACAACTTCGCATTTTGTCCATTGAACCACATTGTATAGTAAATATGCTTGTCACAATCATTTCAGGAAATAAAAATTGAAAGCTCTTAGGATGGCTAAAAACTGTGCCTTGTTCTAATGGGGGTTTTATTCTTAGTTTATAGAGATTGAGCCCCTCTCCCAATTGTTGTGTAATGACCTTCGGTAGCAAGTCGCTACTACAGCCCTTATGGCTCAGGGGCAGAGCGTCTGACTCGAGAGCGGAAGGCCCTTGGTTCGTTTTCCGCACTGGGCATTGGATTTAGCACACTCTCTTTCGAGTCTAGTATCTGGCTCGACAGCTTCCCGACGGACGTGCCCAAGGGTCGTTACAGTTGATCTGTGTACGACGATACATTCGGATTCACTTGTTAAAATGATATATTATAAATGGACGATAACTGCCTGTGACCTGAACCATCTGTTCATAAATCTTAGATGATTCAACATGCTGAAGTACTTTTAAGCCAACGTTTCAAAGCATATCCCATCGAATGAAGTTATATGGGAAGATATAGGGAACGGCTCAATCCGTACGTCCGTCCGTATTTGTCTCAAAGGTGGCCATTTTCAAATATGGCAGCCCATTTCACTTTTCACACGGCTGTTCGATGGAATTTGATATGCGTTGCCGTTATCTAGTTTATATAATATCGTTCCAAAGTAACCGTTGATGAAGCTATCTTTTAAGAAGCGGAGTCAAAATACGCGTAATGCGAAGGGGTGGTAGATTCAGCCTGGTTTACTGGTTTTAATTGTTGTTTACTAAGATAGATACAAACTTTTGATTTGTTTATATGCATACTATACACTCTAATTTATTACGATAGATTACCCTTGGCATTCCTTTCGACTTCGCTTCTCAAAAGAGACTAGGAAAGCTTCGTCTTCTAACTAGACTCTGCGCGCAGGGTAACGATAGATACAATCTAGCTTACCATAAAAACAACCAAGTTCATGTTGTTATATGTTTACTATATGAGTGCAACCTAATTTAGTGGTTATACGTTTACTGATAATTAGTTAATCGGTTTACGTTTTATATGTTTACGATGATAGAAACAACCTTATTCTTCGGTCAGCCAGTTTTGATCATTAAAAAAGCTTTAAAGCTTATCTTCTTGACACAATTCATCGTCCGATATTTTCTTTTCTTTTTCATCAACTTCGTGCGATGGATTAAATCTCGTACCATGCCTGGATGAAATGATCTGCATGATAACGTATATGACAAGCATAATACTTCCGCACCCAACGAGTACAAACGTATATGACCTTGCTCCTTGGTACTGGAACAGATACCCGGTTAACCATTGGAATATGAATCCGCCTGTAGCAGATCCAGTATAAAGAACAGCTACCGCCAATCCTGTCACTTCAAGGTATCGATTAGCCCATGATATTCCAGTTCCAAAAATTGGGCCATTTATGAGTCCAAATAGGCAGACAGTTATCCAGAGCATTAGACGAACTTGATGTCCAAATATGGACATAACAATAGTGGTTATGACGTAGCAAACAAGAAGGGTACATAGGATAATAGGACTTGGAATGAATTTGGCGTAGACCATTGGTAAACCCCGCCCCGTCGTATAACATATCCAGTAAGCGGAATTGAGAAACGCTGCGTCGAGTTTACTGAACTTTAGGTCATTATCTGTGGCGTAACTAAACAAGAATCTACCAGTAGATCGATCTCCACCCACAAGGAAAAGGTAGAAGAAAAACAACATGACAAACATAACACTTCCAAATAGTTTATCCCCCATTGCGCACCTTCCCGGCGAAAACAGTCCCTTTAATTTGGTGGACACTTCTTTCATATCAACACCTGGGGGTGGCGTTATACAGAAGAAGACGAACGCTATCCCTGATGAACAATATGCTAAGATTCCTATAATAATATATGCTATTTCAATTCTTGAATCGGTAATCTGTGGTACGAAGGTAGCAGATAATTCTGTTGTCACGTTCGAGTTCAGCGTCGCATTCAGAGTGGCGTTCGAGTTCAGCGTCGCATTCAGAGTGGCGTTCGAGTTCAGTGTTGTGTCGGGAGATAAAAATGGAGCGGCAACTATGGGCGCCAATGATGCCCCGATTCCATATGAGAAATGCAAAGAATATACTGCGGGTGCTGCTTTTTCCTTCCATAGTCGAATAAACATCGCATTAGCACCTAAAATAAACAGAAATACCATCTTATGTGCTATTTTAGAGTCTACATAATTCTTATCTTATTGATCCAGATATTCTATGATGTCATTTGCACATTTGCTTATATTCTCATTTGTGCGAAGCTTTATAAGGGACATGAATTTTTTTCGGAATTAAGAATTTCGTTTTTTTAATTAATTTTTTTGATTTTTGAATTAGATTTTTTATTCTATTTTCACCTCGGTTGAAATTAATTCCCACCTCTGTGAAAATTAATTTCCACCGCGGTGGAAATTAGGCGTGTCATGACCTAATTTCCAGACGAAACAGACGGCCATGACAAAACAATGTCTGAACCCATGTATTTTGGTAATTTTTCCGTGCATCGTTTGATACCCCATCGAACTACCAGTGCCATGTTCTATTTCTTCCCTAACAGCCGATGCAACAGTTTCCAAGGATGACTTGTTGAGTTTTCTGGAAATCCCCATTCTTTTCAAATCTCTCTTAAGCTGTCTTTCACCGATTTTTATGTCATGACGAAAACCAAGAAGATGAGTAATCTCCTTGTACGTAAACCCATTAAAATAGGACAACACGAATTTGTCTCGGTGTTCAGACATTGTTTTGTCACGGCCGTCTGTTTCGTCTGGAAATTAGGTCATGACACGCCTAATTTCCACCGCGGTGGAAATTAATTCCCACCGCGGTGGAAATTATTTTTACGCGTAGTAAATAGTTTCTACCGAGGTGGAAATAATTTTCACCAAGGTGAAAATTCATGTAAAATTTTTAATCAAAAATTGAAAAATTGAAAAAAAATTATTCGAGGAAAATTTTTAATTAAAACTAAAATTCTTACTTCAGAAAAAAATTCATGTCCATTATAAGGCATCGTACATTTGTTTGAGATTTCAAGGATGTGGTAGAATAGCAAAATTCATGGATTTAAAAAAATATCAATTATAAAGCCCAGATACTCTATGTAACGTACCAACTGCCAAATTCCCTTCACAGAAGCCCTGTAGTACAAAACATGCCCAAAGTAGTTCCAAGACTCTACACCAGGGTATAATCATGGTCCCCGTGGAACCAATTAGCAACGCACCGACGGAGAACAAATCTGTGTATTTTGGGAATCTATCCCAAAGCACCCCTCCTGTTAAAGAACCAATGAAAAACCCAATGCTTCTCCCAACCAAGGCTCGACCGATTTCTTCATAGTTACAGTTCACCCTAGTTTTCAGGTCTTGTAGTGTTGCGCCGTTCACCTCAAGAAGCATTCCCTTAAATGAGAATGAACATGTCAAAGAGTACAAATCATTCACAGTTCAAAGGACCAGGTATGGTTAAAGACTGTTTTATCTTTTACTTTGATCATTTTCTCACTATAAAGGAGACATTATATAAAGTGTTCTATTTCTTATCTGAAAAAGAACCCAATCTTATTTCCTTGCATAAGTTAATTATACTAGCCCCAATGAACTTTTGAAAATAAAATTGCGTTGAAGGTCAATTTATATATATACCAAACAAATCCACTTATCACGGTGTTATAGCATGACGGTTACGCCACCTCTGAAAACGAGGTTGGGCGGCTACGTTCACTGATTTATCAAATAAATGGAAGAGAAAACTAAGGTTGGTGCATTATTTTCTACTACTGTTTATCAATGAAAAGATGAACGATTTATGTAAGCGTCGCATTCGGTGATGCATGCATATGTATATTTTGAACGTAGTCTTTGCAAATTGATGCCCGGGGATTACATGAAATAAGAGAAAAACTGTCGAGTTTGAAATTCAAAACTACACCAAATATAGCAATTTGTTTATTTTTGTTGTTAGGGCATGATCTACATTGCCTAAAAACCTTGGTATATATAGATGTAACCTACAAACGATCATACAAAGCCAATTAATTGAGCATTGGAAACCCCCTAATATGGTCTACTCGAGCCATAATAATGTATTTTAAATTTGCGGTAACGTAAATCATTGATGGACGGTTACGCGAACCAGATTCAAATATGAAACCCCGATTCATTGTTATTAATTTTGTCATCTTCATCAGTATTTGATCCAAAATCTTCTTTTGCATCTTCATTGCTATCTTTTACACTTTCATCATTTGGTTTCATAAATAAAGCAAGCGACAGTTTTTTTCCTTGCCCTATAGAGGCTGAAACAAAAGCCTCTCTTGCGAGTCCTGAAAACAAATATAGGAAATTCAATATTCCATTTCTTACCCATTATAACAATAACATGGAAAGAGGCTATCAGATCTAACAACCTTGACTTGACAGATGTACATGCACGTAACCGTCCGCTAAATATCTTATGTACAACTAATACAATATGTTACCGTCCATAGATTGCGATAGAAGCCATACGTAGTCGTCTAACGACATTGCGTTTGAAACCTTATTATTTACGATATACAACACGTTCCTGTTCTGGATTTGTAATTTTATGCCTTGTATATACACAGTTTACTTTCAGTTAATATTTTAAGTGACTCTGAGGCACATGTACTGAGAAAACACGAGAATGGACCAAAAATTATGAACTTGGATATCTCAGTCGGTAGGTTTACAGCTTGTATTCTGTTTCTTGTAGACCACCTGGCAGATTTGACTCAGTCTTTATAACCATCCATATATACGTCACCGAATGGAACTAGTTTAAAAGGAAATCGTATATGTGAATATTGCCTACAGGCGAGAAAGAGGACATGCTGCCTTTCCCATCCGCCATTTTTTGTTATCGTTACCGCAAAATTTTGCAAATCGCCTAGACGTAACCGTCATGCTATAACACCGTGCTTATAAGTCTATCAATGTATATCCCAAGACAATGTCGACCAAATTCATGTTAAACACCGATCGTGTACAGCGTCCGATATTCTTACTTACCAAGCAAATCCACGTGACATCGATGTACAACGTCTTTGATATTTTATACACAAACGTCCAACTACATTTTGGTTTTCCATCCACCATTGTCTTTGCAGCTTCCAGATCATAATTATTTTTGGACATTCTTGAACCAAGTGAAGACCTTAAAAGTTCTCGAAGAAGTAACTTCAATCTCAATCTGTATAAAACTTCAATTGACAGTCGACAAGACTCTTGACATATTTACAGGGTGTCAAATAAGTCCCGTCCCCCCGCTACAGCAAAAAACAACATATAAGGTGCCAAGTGTGATATGTCATTGGAAAGGTCTACCAAAGTTACATTGGTTGGCATATATCTGACACATGTCAATCAAGCTCACAAATGGCAATGGATTAAACCAATTTCTGGATAGGGTTAGATGTTAGAAAATAGACGTGCATGGAAAGTGGTGAAACCTTTTTGTTACAAGTGAAATGCGAAAAAAGGTGAACTTTTTGACATATTTCTGAGGTCATATCCTTCTCATTTTGATGCAATAAAAGCTACTTAAGGAGGGTTAGCTAACTATAAAAGACATCGTGAAAATATAGGTAAATTTCATCCAAAATACTTGAGGGTTGGTGAGTTAACATAACTTTGGATGATCTTTCCAATGGTATATCACACTAGGTACCATATATTAAGGGTTTGGCTGTAGTAGGGGGGACGAGACTTATTTTACAGCCTGTGTATAAGAATCGTGGTTAGAGGGATTTCCAAATATGAAATTGCGAAAGATCTTATGAATAAACCTAATCTTGGCTCCAGGTTTCATATACTTAAGACCAGGGTGCATGTTCGGAATTTTTCTGCATTCCTCAACCATGTCACATGTTATTTTTAACAGGAATCACTCCTTCCACACATTGTCTACATCTTCCAGTTTTGCACAAAGATTGCACGTATGTGCATAGAAAAGACTGTAAAGAAGATCTTATTGTAAAATGTATAAAAACGAGAAAATTCAGAATTTTTTCACTGAATTTTCTTGTTTATTTTATCAAAACATTCTTCTTTGCATTCTTTTCTAGGTACATTAGTGCACTCGTTGGGCAAAAGTGAGAGATATAGACTCTGTGGGGAAGGAGTGATTCAAATTTGAAAAATAACATGTGACCCTATTGAGGGTTGCAGCAAAATTCCGAATATGCACTCTGACCTTAAACAAAATCATTTTATTTGTGAAATTATTCATTTTATTATTACCACTCGTTGCTCAGTATTCAGCTGAATAATGTTTAGAACTCCCTTGGTGTACGGAACTTTTTCATATATGCAATGTGTTGTATACCAATTAACGGACTACGCACAAAATATACTAAACATGTGTATTCATAAAGCTTGGAAGGAATGACTGTGACAACAAAGGAAATGTTTTTTTTTCTCAATTTTTTAAACCGTGTTACTGCATACCAGGGAGACCCAGACTTAAAAAGCGAACGGTGTGGATTAATCATTTACCGAAAATATAACTAAGTCATTTCTTATCTTATATTCAGGACACATGTGGTATTGTTATCTGGAGACATGAGTTTATAGTGTTCTATACAGGGCGTTCATAAAGTTCTTGCAAAAGTACTGTAATTTTTAGGTTTTTCAATCAATCTGGCTGAAGTTTTCACTCAGTATACCTACACTATTCATACAATTGATACTTGAATTATAATGAATAGGACCTTGAAGAAAAAAGGTTATGATTGTTATAGTAACACGAGTCGGGGGTAGGCGGAGCAGCATCGCAAAAAAAGAAAAATTTAGATAAAAAATATGGGTTAGAGGTAACCTTAACATACTTTAAAGTATCCTTGAAAGTACAAAACAAGCTATTGTTACCATGTCAACACTAGATGATGTCACATAATGACATCATAGTTGAAATTTCTTTGATTCATGACATCACTCATGGTATCATAATCATAGTGACCTATATTGGTTGATGACATCAGACTTTGTGAAAGGCAGCGTCAATTTTGTTTTTGTGAAAATGGCTGCAAAATCAGCAAAAGATGATGATTTTGTAATTACAAATATTCAGTAGCATCGGGATGTATGTTAACTGGGAAATTCATGAAGACAAACACTTGGTGTATGGGAAGGAGGCTATAGTCAAAGAACCATTTACAGAACGGACTAAGACATTTACTGATGATAGAACAAATGGTAAGGACAATGCTAGATCAGGCCGTCCAAGAACGAAATCCAGTAAGGATTAGATGACGTTGATTAAAGCCATCCATACAAAGATCAATCGCAATAAATTTTCCACATGGGTTCCCCATCTGTTCGAGGAATGGTAAGTAAGACAGCAGAGGTGTATAGACCATGATGGACACTATTTTGAACACCTATACTCTTGAGATACTGTTAAGAAAATAGGACAAGTTAAAAACATTTTGAACATTCAAACAAAACAGATCCTTTTTTGCCTGCTCCGCCTACCCCCGACTCATGTGACTATAGCAACCATAACTTTTTTTCCTCAAGGACCTATTAATTATAACTAAGGATCTCAATGTATGAATAGTGTAGGTATACTGAGTCAAAATTTCAGCCAGATAGGAATGGTTAAGTTGATAGAAAAATGGCAGTGCGGTCTAGATTTAAGTATATAGAAAGATGGCAGTGTGAATTAGACCTAAGTTGATAGAAAGATGGCAGTGCGGTTCAGACCTAAGTTGATAGAAAATGGCAGTGCGGTCTAGTCTTAAGTATACAGAAAGATGGCAGTGCGGTTTAGACCTAAGTTGATAGAGAAATGGTAGTGCGCTCTAGACTTAAGTATATAGAAAGATGGCAGTGTGGTTAAGACCTAAGTTGATAGAAAGATGGCAGTGTGGTTTAAACCTAAGTTGATAGAAAGATGGCAGTGTGGTTTAGACCTAAGTTAATAGAAAGATGGCAGTGTGGTTTAGACCTAAGTTGATAGAAAGATGACAGTGCAGTTCAGACCTAAGTTGATAGAAAGATGGTAGTGCGCTCTAGACTTAAGTATATAGAAAGATGGCAGTGTGGTTAAGACCTAAGTTGATAGAAAGATGGCAGTGTGGTTTAAACCTAAGTTGATAGAAAAATGGCAGTGCGGTCTAGACTTAAGTATGTAGAAAGATGGTAGAGTGGTTTAGACCTAAGTTGAGAGAAAGATGGCAGTGTGGTTTAGACCTAAGTTGAGAGAAAGATGGCAGTGTGGTTTAGACCTAAGTTGATAGAAAGATGGCAGTGCAGTTCAGACCTAAGTTGATAGAAAGATGGCAGTGCGGTTTAGACCTAAGTAGATAGAAAGATGTCAATGCGGTCTAGACTTAAGTATATAGAAAGATGGCAGTGTGAATTAGACCTAAGTTTATAGAAAGATGGCAGTGTGGTTTAGACCTATGTTGATAGAAAGATAGAAGTGTAATTTAGACCTAAGTTAATAGAAAGATGGTTGTGTTGTAAGACATAAATTGAGAAAAAGATGGTAGTGTGGTTTAGACCTAAGTTGACAGACAAATGGTAGTGTGATTTAGACCTAAGTTGATAGAAAGAGGGCAGTGCAGTTTAGACCTAAGTTGATAGAAAGATGGTTGTGTTGTTAGACATAAATTGAGAGAAACATGGTAGTGTGGTTTAGACCTAAGTTGACAGAAAAATGGTAGTGTGATTTAGACCTAAGTTGATAGAAAGAGGGCAGTGCAGTTTAGACCTAAGTTGATAGAAAGATTACATTGTAAGTTTATAGAAAGATGGCACTCTGGTTTTTAACGTATTTAAACAGACAACTGAATAATTGGGTTCCAGAAAAAGTCAAAGGTATTTAATCATATAAGAATAGTGACAATAGAAAATTGTGGCAATTGGAGGAGATCATACACTACGTACCAGCCAGTGAGACATTTGTGTTGAAACGGGGGTACATTGTCTAAAGTTTGAAAATATTATTTTACCATTCATTTACTTTTTTTTAAAGATGTAAGCATTTCTCAAATATTCAAATTTCCCGCCATTTTTCAAAAAAGGTTGAAACTTTCATATATTTCTTAATGCATTTCAAAAAAGATTTATCTTTTTAACACCAATGCAAAGATTGAACAAAGGACACACTTTTTCAATAATAAAATGCCATATTTAATGGGCTACTTCAATGTTTTAGCAGATCAAAAATATTTATTAGTGATGTCACTAAGGTAGCAAAAACCTTTTGAAAAAATTGAAAAGTCTTTTTCGATGTCAATCTTTTTTATATATGATAGACTTCAATAATAAACCAATGTTGATTGTCTAACCAGGTTAAAAGGAAGAATATATTATGTTTTAGATATCAATGTACCATTGGTCTCTATGAAAACTAATCTTTTGAAATTCATTTTTCTCGGAACCATTCTCATGCACTGATGAGTTCATTTCTCGCTTATTTATGAACCGATTTTCTCAATTTCTTTAAGTCGCTAAGCATCAAAAAAGCAAAAAATGAATTTAAAATAACTATATTATTCGTGTCGTGCTTTATTTACAATTTATTGTGCGATAGTAAAAATAAAAATTAAAATCCCTTTAACCATTGTAAAAGAGTATAAAATATGAAGTTATGTAGTAACTTCATACAATGATAAACATTCAATATCGCTTCCATGTTTAACATGTTATAAACCTGTCGCCTATATTACATAGTATAGCTACTGCAGCTTATATGTATTGTATTTTACATATAAATATGTAGATGAAAAACAGCAAATTGAAATCAAACATTCAAATAAGAAACCCCGACGTGGGTCCATTTGCAAGTCGATTGAACGTGCCTATAGATGATGCCAGTAAGCAAATATGTAAATGTTTCAATATATTTGCATACATGTACCTTATGCTAGGCATTTGATTGTCGCTAGAACGAGATCGCAATCACTGGAAGGACTAGGCCTATAATAACACACATACAAGCTTCATTGGTCCATCAGTACTCAATATAGCCCAGTATGAACTATATTAAAGGGGGAACATCTCTATTGGGAAACTAACATTCTACGATATAGTCTCCGTAACATCATGCTCTTATTGAAAGATGTCACCCCTGTATTGCTTGGGTATACAGTATAGTTTCCTTATTCATTCGCAATAAGGCACGCATACTGGTTAGTATGGACCATATAAAATATAGATCATAATCCCTGGGTGCTGGGTGGCAATAATCTGTCAACACTGTTCATATCATGGAATCGGTGTCTCGTTTTGTGTCATCGACGTTGTGCGCATGACCGTTAAGCTGTGTGCCGCCATTTTGTTCTGTTTCCCTACTCCTCTCATTGTTTCTATTTTTCTTAACACGATGAACAATTCCGTAAATCTCCTGGATTAGAGGAACTGTGATGATAAAAATGGCGGCGATGAACGCCCAAACCTGGGATAACTGAGTCCACATTCTGAATTGAGTCACATTCAAAACCCCTATGCTTATCATTATCGAGGGCCATATGATAATAATAGCAGCGGTCAGTACCAGCCCAAATCCTATCGCTATATACTTAGCTCGTTTGAAAATCTGAGTCATTTTCTCTTGTGATGGTCGCGAAATGGTCGTAAATTCGTGGGCATATTTTAACGACCAAGGGTACAACGGATTCTCAATATTTCTAGTTTTCTCCCATTCAGTTCGGGCATCGTGTGTTTTCCTGTTATTTGTTATAAGTGATACTATGATGCAGACTCCGCCACCGACTCCAATGGATACGCAATTGCCAACGAACATAGCAAGTTCCTGTCCCGTGTTTTTGAGAAAATCCCCGAGTCCACCCGGGTAAGTTGACGCCATAGCTAACCAAGCAATCAGTCCACATGCGCATCCGGTCACGACCCCTGAAATAATATAAACGATTGATAATAAATAACATTACCATATAAAGTATAAGGCATCTATTTGACAGTTTAATTATTCTAGTATATACAGGTACGTATAATTCACTTTACACATGACAATTAACCATGCAGAATGATATAGACACGCATTATTCATTTATTTTCACCATATAGGTGTTATATAGTACTAAAGTAACTTCCTTCAGATAAACGAGAGTTGTTATGAAATATGGACAGGCCTCCCATGCTATTTGATACGCATTATTCGTTTTATCCAACACCGTGATTATACAAATAGATACGCATTATTCATTTATTTATCACCATGATAATTGGTACGCATTATTGATTCTATTCTACACCATTATAGACTCACCGTGGAATAGCCTGACAACGGTAAAGTCAGATACCGTTGTCACAAATGGCGGACATAACCGTCGCTTCAATTAGATTTTCATGAACTGTATGTTTAATAGATCACCTAGACTAGATTCCTTTGGAACAACAATCAATCAAAGTGTCTTAATACTCATTGTACAGTTAATAATGTTCTACCATCGAAATAAAGTAAATAATTTAACCGATCAAAATGAGATACGGGACAACGGACACAGTAATTACCAGATGCCGTTGTCTTTCTAAATTTCTCAAATTCAGATTCCGTTGTCATTGACGATATCGAAGACGCTATATTGTGGCGATTCACGATTCAATTTGATCGAAATTGTGATTTCATACGAAACATCATCACAAGACCTTAATACATGCACAGAATTAGTGACAATAAAATCCCATGAAATGAAGACCAAGTGAGTAGAGTTGAAGCGACGGTTATGTCCACCATTTGTGACAACGTTATCTGACTTTACCGTTGTCAGGCTATTCCGGTGTGAGACTAGATGCGAGTAGAAATAATTCTGATTTACGTCATTAAACATTCACAATTCAGTTAAAGTGATGTCATATTTGAAATCTAAATGTAAAAGTACATTTAGAAATATGGTTTTGAAAGTTGTTTATCAACTTTGAATATTTATTTTGGAGAATGTGACTTCTTGTTTGGGGAGATTCCCCATGGGCCCCTTGTTATAAAATCACAAAAAAATGAAATATCTTTTCTCGTATTCAATAGATACAATTTTCTTTTACTGGACAGATTTTGATTTACATAACTATTAGATACATAAGGGTAATATGAAAATTGAACCACTAAAACCGATAATATCTAAGTCAAAGGGAACTTGCTACTATACCTGCCATGCAATATGACCCGAATGAGCCACCTGGTGGTGAAACTGGTAACTACCTACTCGCATCTAAGTTATTACATAAATAGATAAGCATTATATTCGTTTTATTCAGCACCTCAATTGCATTCAAAAATGGATACGCATTATGCACTTATTTTACATCAATTATTATACAAATAGATATACATTATCATTTTATCCTACACCGTAAACGTAAAGGACGATTCTCGGTTTGGAGAACAGTCTCCTGGGCTAATAATTTTTTTATGAAAAATATAGAAATATTACCCAAATTAAACTATAAGGACATTTAAATCTCCAAGATGTAAAAATAACAAATTGGTCTGAAGCAGGGATAACGCTCAATTTGACCGATTCAATAAAATACAAGTCTTGATTTGGGGAAAGAAGTTCATCAGTGTACTGCGCTAATATTTTTTTGCGAAAAATCTAGAAACATTACCCAAAATTTAATTATGACTATTCAAAAGAAGACATTCAAATCTATATTATGTAAAAAAAATCAAAGGACGATTCTCGGTTTGGAGAACGAAGTTCATCAATCTAAATGAGCATTATCCCTGCTTCGGACAAATCTGATTTTTTTTACATAATATAGATTTGAATGTCTTCTTTTGAATAGTCATAATTTAATTTGGGTAATATTTTTAGATTTTTCGCAAAAAAAATATTAGCGCAGTACACTGATAAACTTCTTTCCCCAAATTGAGACTTGTATTTTATTGAATCGGTCTAATTGAGCGTTATCCCTGCTTCAGACCAATTTGTTATTTTTACATCTTGTAGATTTAAATGTCCTCTTTTGAATATTCATAGTTTAATTTGGGTAATATTTCTATATTTTTCGTGAAACAAATTATTAGCCCAGGAGACTGTTCTCCAAACCGAGAATCGTCCTTTGTCCGAAGCAGGAATAATGCTCATTTAGATTGATGAACTCCGTTCTCCAAACCGAGAATCGTCCTTTTAGATATACACCATTCATCCATCATCGATCAAAACCTTGTGAATCAAGATATGCCGAAGGAATCTAATATATGCGAGTTAGATAAGTCTAGATAAAAATACTACAAACAAACACGTGCTCGAAAAGCACCAGGCTTTATAGGTATGCTGTTATACAAGGCCGCAGCTTGCATCAAAATAAACAAACAGCCCTAGCAACTGAGACATGTTTATTTTTAGATTTTAACCTTCAATTGCAATATATAGGAATGCCTGATTATTTATATAGGTGTCCGAAGAGGGGGGGGATTGCGTTTGGTGCGACCGCCACCCCCCCCCCCCCCCTTTGAGTCCATCCCCCCGGGGATTTCCTTGTGCTGAAGAGAGAGAGACTCAGAGGAAAGAAAAACTCCGTGCTCTGGCAAAAGAGGTGGAGAAGCTATGCTTTAAGTGCAAGCTATAATAGAGAGTCGAATACCATGTCTTTTTATTTTTGTTATTTTAGATATAGACATACGCTTGTTTGAAAAATCCTGGGGAAGTCCCTTTAACTATCATCTTGTTATAATCGAAAGAGTGTATATGCGGTGAATTTGTGACCGTGGTGTCGTTCGTAGTATTTCGTTCGCCTTTGATGTCATCTGAGGTAAAATGATTGTTCTTGCTTTTGTGTTTAAGTTTAATTCAACTCAAAAAATGGGATTGGAATGTAAAATGTACACTTACCAGAAATCATTCCTTTCGATGTCAATCGTGACCACGTGACAGAGAGTGCAATTGGCACAACAGTGCACCCTATTAACACTCCGGTGAACCAAAACACCCATCCCAGGTTGAGCCCCACTCCAACACAAAACAGAATCAGAGGAATGGTCGCTAGAGTAAGCCACAATATGATCCAGTTCTTGATGGATAGTAATTTGTCTTGGTACTGTCGGTATTTTCCGTGAATTGAACACGTGTACTGTTCAGTGACGTTAATTTCCGTCACTTCCTTAATTTTGAGATTGTCCTTCGTGCATTGCTCGCATGATATGACAGGGGGACAGTCACATACGTATTTTTCAGCCTGAAATAAAAAACAAACGTTATTATATTTCTTGTTGGATTACTTTGACTTATAAAGAAATTTAAAGGGGAAAACCGGTGTAAAAGGGTAGGAGGTCCTATCAAATTATGGTCCTACTCTCCATTGATTTATATGGTGACCTAAATACAACTCTTTCCCTCATTATCTTATACGCAATCAGGGCCAGTAAGGGCCGTTAAGAAGGGGGACCATAATCCCTGGGGGACCATCATTTCTTTCACACCTGGTATAAAAGAAAGATGGAACAGCCAACAACAGTCAATTATGTCTGTTGAAAATGTTTGAATCACTGAAACCAGTAAATTTATTTTGATTTTGCCAATATCATGAATTCTAGGAAGATTCAAAGACCCAAATTTGCTCCAGTCATTCATATTCAATTATCATTGAGTATATTTCAAGCATATTTGAAAAAAAATATTTAAAGATCTCATTAAAAATGAGCAGTTGGATGTGGATTTAATTTCAAATTGACCAATAGTCTGCAATGCTCTCAGGTCAGAGGTTAAAACATGTAAACATAGTAGCAGCAATATGCCTTGTGCTTGTGTTTATAAATGACCCCACTACTGCTAAGCCACATCCTCTGCTGACAGCTGATTGGCTGTTTGTTATCTGGTAGGCATTTCACGTGTCACATAAGACACCCAGGTGTATCAATTAACTTTTCCTCTTTAGGGCGAGTGGGTTGATCAGAATTGTTCTTTTACTTTTAGGACAACATAGAAATATTGAAATGACCACTATGTGCATTCAATTCCTGGTTTTGCTTTCAGACTTTAGCCCTTCTATCAAATTTATATATGGCCTGCATATGAATGTAAAAATATGTAAAATACAATGCACTCCCTCAAAACGTTTGACATCCCCTTCCACTCCCCATTTTCCGATCGGACACGTCTTAAAGCCTGTCATATAAAGTTACTTCCTTCAGAGAAGAGTTGGTATGTAGTATGAGAATTGCTATACTTTCAAAGGGGGTGTACGTATGTAGTGTGAGAATTGCTATACTTTCAAAGGGGGTGTACGTATGAAGTATGATAGTTGCTATACTTTCAAAGGGGGTGTACGTATGAAGTATGAGAATTGCTATACTTTCAAAGGGGGTGTACGTATGAAGTATGAGAATTGCTATACTTTCAAAGGGGGTGTACGTATGAAGTATGAGAATTGCTATACTTTCAAAGGGGGTGTACGTATGAAGTATGAGAATTGCTATACTTTCAAAGGGGGTGTACGTATGAAGTATGAGAATTGCTATACTTTCAAAGGGGGTGTACGTATGAAGTATGAGAATTGCTATACTTTCAAAGGGGGTGTACGTATGAAGTATGAGAATTGCTTTACTTTCAAAGGGGGTGTACGTATGAAGTATGAGATTGCTATACATTCAAAGGGGGTGTACGTATGAAGTATGAGAATTGCTATACTTTCAAAGGGGGTGTACGTATGAAGTATGAGAATTGCTATACTTTCAAAGGGGGTGTACGTATCAAGTGTGAGAATTGCTATACTTTCAAAGGGGGTGTACGTATGAAGTATGAGAATTCCTATACTTTCAAAGGGGGTGTACGTATGAAGTATGAGAATTGCTATACTTTCAAAGGGGGTGTACGTATCAAGTATGAGAATAGCTATACTTTCAAAGGGGGTGTACGTATGAAGTATGAGATTGCTATACTTTCAAAGGGGGTGTACGTATGAAGTATGAGAATTGCTATACTTTCAAAGGGGGAGTACGTATGAAGTATGAGAATTGCTATACTGTCAAAGGGGGTGTACGTATGTAGTATGAGAATTGCTATACTTTCAAAGGGGGTGTACGAATGAAGTATGAGAATTGCTATACTTTCAAAGGGGGTGTACGTATGAAGTATGAGAATTGCTATACTTTCAAAGGGGGTGTACGTATGAAGTATGAGAATTGCTATACTTTCAAAGGGGGGGGGGTGTACGTATGAAGTATGAGAATTGCTATACTTTCAAAGGGGGGGGGGGTGTACGTATGAAGTATGAGAATTGCTATACTTTCAAAGGGGGTGTACGAATGAAGTATGAGAATTGCTATACTTTCAAAGGGGGTGTACGTATGAAGTATGAGAATTGCTATACTTTCAAAGGGGGGGGGGTGTACGTATGAAGTATGAGAATTGCTATACTTTCAAAGGGGGTGTACGTATGAAGTATGAGAATTGCTATACTTTCAAAGGGGGGGGGTGTACGTATGAAGTATGAGAATTGCTATACTTTCAAAGGGGGTGTGCGTATGAAGTATGAGAATTGCTATACTTTCAAAGGGGGTGTACGTATGAAGTATGAGAATTGCTATACTTTCAAAGGGGGTGTACGTATGAAGTATGAGAATTGCTATACTTTCAAAGGGGGTGTACGTATGAAGTATGAGAATTGCTATACTTTCAAAGGGGTGTACGTATGAAGTATGAGAATTGCTATACTGTCAAAGGGGGTGTACGTATGAAGTATGAGAATTGCTATACTTTCAAAGGGGGTGTACGTATGAAGTATGAGAATTGCTATACTGCCAAAGGGGGTGTACGTATGAAGTATGAGAATTGCTATACTTTCAAAGGGGGTGTACGTATGAAGTATGAGAATTGCTATACTTTCAAAGGGGGTGTACGTATGAAGTATGAGAATTGCTATACTTTCAAGGGGGTGTACGTATGAAGTATGAGAATTGCTATACTTTCAAAGGGGGTGTACGTATGAAGTATGAGAATTGCTATACTGCCAAAGGGGGTGTATGTATGAAGTATGAGAATTGCTATACTTTCAAAGGGGGTGTACGCATGAAGTATGACTGAGAATTGCTATACTTTCAAGGGGGTGTACGTATGAAGTATGAGAATTGCTATACTTTCAAAGGGTGTACGTATGAAGTATGAAAATTGCTATACTTTCAAAGGGTGTACGTATGAAGTTTGAGAATTGCTAAACGAGATTTGGTATGTAGTATGAGAATTGCTATACTTTCAAAGGGGGTGTACGTATGAAGTTTGAGAATTGCTATACTTTCAAAGGGGGTGTACGTATGAAGTATGAGAATTGCTATACTTTCAAAGGGAGTGTACGTATGAAGTATGAGAATTGCTATACTTTCAAAGGGGGTGTACGTATGAAGTTTGAGAATTGCTATACTTTCAAAGGGGGTGTACGTATGAAGTATGAGAATTGCTATACTTTCAAAGGGGGTGTACGTATGAAGTATGAGAATTGCTATACTTTCAAAGGGGGTGTACGTATAAAGTTTGAGAATTGCTATACTTTCAAAGGGGATGTACGTATGAAGTATGAGAATTGCTATACTTTCAAAGGGGGTGTACGTATGAAGTATGAGAATTGCTATACTGTCAAAGGGGGTGTACGTATGAAGTATGAGAATTGCTATACTTTCAAAGGGGGTGTACGTATGAAGTGTGAGAATTGCTATACTTTCAAAGGGGGTGTACGTATGAAGTATGAGAATTGCTATACTTTCAAAGGGGGTGTACGTATGAAGTGTGAGAATTGCTATACTTTCAAAGGGGGTGTACGTATGAAGTATGAGAATTGCTATACTTTCAAAGGGGGTGTACGTATGAAGTGTGAGAATTGCTATACTTTCAAAGGGGGTGTACGTATGAAATATGAGAATTGCTATACTTTCAAAGGGGGTGTACGTATGAAGTATGAGAATTGCTATACTTTCAAAGGGGGTGTACGTATGAAGTATGATAATTGCTATACTGCCAAAGGGGATGTACGTATGAAGTATGAGAATTGCTATACTTTCAAGGGGGTGTACGTATGAAGTATGAGAATTGCTATGCTTTCAAAGGGGGTGTACGTATTAAGTATGAGAATTGCTATACTTTCAAGGGGGTGTACGTATGAAGTATGAGAATTGCTATGCTTTCAAAGGGGGTGTACGTATGAAGTATGAGAATTGCTATACTTTCAAAGGGGGTGTACGTATGTAGTATGAGAATTGCTATACTTTCAAAGGGGGTGTACGAATGAAGTATGAGAATTGCTATACTGTCAAAGGGGGTGTACGTATGTAGTATGAGAATTGCTATACTGTCAAAGGGGGTGTACGTATAAAGTATGAGAATTGCTATACTTTCAAAGAAGGTGTACGTATGAAGTATGAGAATTGCTATACTTTCAAAGGGGTGTACGTATGAAGTATGAGAATTGCTATACTTTCAAAGGGGGTGTACGTATGAAGTATGAGAATTGCTATGCTTTCAAGGGGGTGTACGTATAAAGTATGAGAATTGCTATACTTTCAAAGGGGGTGTACGTATGAAGTATGAGAATTGCTATACTTTCAAAGGGGGTGAACGTATGAAGTATGAGAATTGCTATACTGTCAAAGGGGGTGTACGTATGAAGTATGAGAATTGCTATACTTTCAAAGGGGGTGTACGTATGAAGTATGAGAATTGCTATACTTTCAAGGGGGTGTACGTATGAAGTATGAGAATTGCTATACTTTCAAAGGGGGTGTACGTATGAAGTATGAGAATTGCTATACTTTCAAAGGGGGTGTACGCATGAAGTATGACTGAGAATTGCTATACTTTCAAAGGGGGTGTACGTATGAAGTATGAGAATTGCTATACTTTCAAAGGGGGTGTACGTATGAAGTATGAGAATTGCTATACTTTCAAAGGGGGTGTACGTATGAAGTATGATAGTTGCTATACTGTCAAAGGGGGAGTACGTATGAAGTATGAGAATTGCTATACTGTCAAAGGGGGTGTACGTATGTAGTATGAGAATTGCTATACTTTCAAAGGGGGTGTACGTATGAAGTATGAGAATTGCTATACTTTCAAGGGGGTGTACGTATGAAGTATGAGAATTGCTATACTTTCAAAGGGGGAGTACGTATGAAGTATGAGAATTGCTATACTGTCAAAGGGGGTGTACGTATGTAGTATGAGAATTGCTATACTTTCAAAGGGGGTGTACGTATGAAGTATGAGAATTGCTATACTTTCAAAGGGGGTGTACGTATGAAGTATGAGAATTGCTATACTGTCAAAGGGGGTGTACGTATGAAGTATGAGATTGCTATACATTCAAAGGGGGTGTACGTATGAAGTATGAGAATTGCTATACTGTCAAAGGGGGTGTACGTATGTAGTATGAGAATTGCTATACTTTCAAAGGGGGTGTACGAATGAAGTATGAGAATTGCTATACTTTCAAAGGGGGTGTACGTATGAAGTATGAGAATTGCTATACTTTCAAAGGGGGTGTACGTATGTAGTATGAGAATTGCTATACTTTCAAAGGGGGTGTACGAATGAAGTATGAGAATTGCTATACTTTCAAAGGGGGTGTACGTATGAAGTATGAGAATTGCTATACTTTCAAAGGGGGTGTACGTATGTAGTATGAGAATTGCTATACTTTCAAAGGGGGTGTACGAATGAAGTATGAGAATTGCTATACTTTCAAAGGGGGTGTACGTATGAAGTATGAGAATTGCTATACTTTCAAAGGGGGTGTACGTATGAAGTATGAGAATTGCTATACTTTCAAAGGGGGAGTACGTATGAAGTATGAGAATTGCTATACTGTCAAAGGGGGTGTACGAATGAAGTATGAGAATTGCTATACTTTCAAAGGGGGTGTACGTATGTAGTATGAGAATTGCTATACTTTCAAAGGGGGTGTACGAATGAAGTATGAGAATTGCTATACTTTCAAAGGGGGTGTACGTATGTAGTATGAGAATTGCTATACTTTCAAAGGGGGTGTACGTATGTAGTATGAGAATTCCTATACTTCCAAAGAGGGTGTACTTACGTGCCCATTTCCATTCCCATTGCCGTTCTCTTTTAATGTCTCTTCACAATCGTCCATGACAACAGGAAGAGGAAGATTACATAGAACACAACTCTTCATGTCGCAATTCTTCCTAAATAAAAAAATAAACAATAACGTGAAACAACGTGCAAACGTTAACGTGCAAAATATAATTTTTTCAGATGGCATATTAAATTTACGTGTGTGCAACAATAGTCACATACGCGTAAATATAGATGTGTGGTACAGATGTCGACCAAAAACGCCGAATACAATAGCGTATAAGTGTTACAATAACCTCCTTTTAAACGATAAATATGCACTATGTAGGTATATCTATCTGGTTTATATAATTTATTTTTAACAATTTATATATTTCTTCAGAGAAACAATCTATTTTATTGAGACTTTCAACCTGTATCCACAAGTCTTCTATTAATTTATTTTATTTCAAATTCATTGAATTTCTTTTTCAGTTCATTTAATATTTCTTTTTGCAAGATATGTCATAGTTAATTGTTTAATTGTTTCCATAGTTATATTATATATATTAATCTTAAGGTTATTCTATGTCTCTACTTGAATGCCGTGTATAGGTTACTAGGTCAAACCCAATGCTGTTAGTATATATCATTTTAATTAATCAATCTTGAAAAAGGCTGGATACAGGTGGAAAATCTGGATAAAATAAAAAAAAAAATTTCTGAAGAAATAAATAAAGGGTTGAATTAAAAAAAGATAACAAATATGCACTGGCATGTAGCGATTTAAGCGATACTGGATACTTTACTGAATTGTGTCGAAGTTAGACGTGTGGTGCGGAAGTTAATATGCAGATGACTATCATTTCAATGTTATATTGTTTGTAGGCAAATTGAGATTAGGCCATTGGAGTATTTGTTTCACGCATACATAAAGCCTAACGCATTCAAGGGTCACATTTATCATTAAACCAATAACTCAAACATATGACCTTGTACACCGACCACCTCTTGAAATCAATGCAGGCCGATTTCAACGAATGCAAACGGTGATATATAAAAGAAACATAATCAAGCATGACCACGTCCCAACTTCTTTTGTTTTCTTTACAACTAAGCTATGACTGTAGTCTATTCAGTGTTGCGTATCGAACCTTGTTTATTATAAAAATAGTGCAACAACAAGCAGAATTCACACATTTACCTATACTTATTCTCAACTGAAGACATTGAATTTATCTCTTAGGTTTTACATTATAAATATCTTAACATGCAGAATACGAAAATAGAGGCTTAGGCCCAACTTTGTATGGATTTTATGAAAATAATCTGATTTTAGAGAAATGAAAAGAAAAATGTCCACACCCTACACAAAATATTTATGGTTCCCCGGGAATACGTATGTGTTGCTTGTATATTAGAATCGTATTCCAGTTACAGAAAGAAGTACATATCATGCTAAACTATATATATATATATATATTTATCGTCTATTAACCTTTGACAAGTAGAGTAGAGAATAAAAATAAAAAATTTAAAAAATTCAAAAAAGGAAATAAGATTAATTTTTTAGAAAACTACTTGGTAAATGATAAAGCAGATATGTGCGGTCGGTTTGGATATGGGGTTTATCCCTCGTGAGATATGCACGTCTACCTTCGGTCCCTATGGTCCATCAGGTAGATATAGAGATTATCCTATCTGAGGTTCAGGATATTGGGATAACCCCGAGGCAAATATAATATATCTGTCCGAGGGCCGCAGGTCCCGAGGGAAAATATATTTTATTCCATAATACTAACTGTTTTCCCAGGGAAATATGAAGGAATTAAAATCGTATTGAATCGTATTACATGAAAAAAGCGTATTGTCCCCGGGAAAAAAATCGTATTGGAGCGTATTACATGAAAAAAATCGTATTGTCCCCGTGAAAAAATCGTATTGGAGCGTATTACATGAAAAAATCGTATTGTCCCCGTGAAAAAATCGTATTGGAGCGTATTGACCTATTTTTTAGTTTCCCGGTTATTTTATTTATTTATTTTATTTTTCAAACAATGTGCATTTATTAATATAACGTTTGCATTATCCAAATGTAACATTCTAGAGGGATGTATTATGGAATAAATAGGTTATTTCTGGTCAGGATTGAATATGGGTTTTATTCCTCGGAAAATATGATATTGACCTTGGGCAATATGATATTGACACTAGGTCGCTGCGCTCTCGGTCAATATTATATTACCCTTCAGTCAATATCATATTGTCCCTCGGAATAAAACCCATATTCAATCCCTGCCAGTAAATAACCTATATTTATCCCATACTTGGACGTGTTACGGGTACATAAAGCCGGTTTGTAAAAACTTATATTTTCATCAGCGGGCAGATATAGCTTTACGTCCCGCTCCGAGCGGGCAGATATAGTATATCTGCCCGCTACGTCATAATCGCTGTTCCCGTATTGGTTATTTTTTGTTACGTTCGCATACTGTAAACGACAATGGAGAAAAACGCAGACAATCGCGATCTGTGATTGGTATGGGATAAACAGATCATCCTATAGTCGGTTCAGGATATTTGGATTATCCCTTGGCCAATATATTATATCTTCCCTCTGGACCTACGGCCCTCGGGCAGATATATTTTATTGGCCTCGGGATAATCCCAATATCCTGAACCTCATATAGGATAATCTCTATGTATTCCATACCTGATGAGGTTTCAGGGGCATATCAACCGGGAATATATTCCATATCCGGCTAATATTTTTCGTATGTCCCGCTCCGACGGAGCTCCGGGACATATAAATCGTATGTCCCGCTCAAAAAAATGTTAAAAATAAATTTTGAAAAAAAAATTTTGAAAAAAATTTGAAAAAAAAGTTTGGAAAAGTTTTGAAAATATTCTGAAAAAAATGTATGCCAAAAAAAGGTGAAAAAAATGTGGGAAAAAAATTTGGGAAAAAAAATTTGTGAAAAAATCTGAAAATAAAAATTTGAAAAAATTGTGCAAAAAATTATGCAAAAAAATGTGAAAAAAATCTTGAAAAAAAATTTTGGACAAAAAATTGGAAAAAAAATTGGGAAAAAAAATTTTGGAAATTTTCTTTTTCATTTTTGAAAAAAATTGAAAACAAATTTGGAAAAAATTTTGAATTTTTTTTGAAAATGATAACATATTTTGCAAGTAACACACCAGAGCATGTGGGAAACATACTTAAGATATCATATTCATTCGTGGATAAAAATCATATCTCTCATAAATCATAGGATATCCTCTATATCCCATGGTTGCAATGATATAGATCGAATATCACATGATGATATATTTGATATGTGACCAAGATATCATATTTTAGTAAACAATTTACAAACCATCGAATATCACTTTTAAACTATCGAATATCACGTCTTAAAAAGTGATATTCGATGGTTTCGAATTTTTTTAAAAAATGAATTTTGAATATTTGATGACGTAAATCAAGATAATTTCTACTCGCATCTTGTCTATTCCACAGGTTTGGGAAAAGTTTACAGGAAATCTCCATGTTCAATTGATGTATGATCAATCAGGCCCGTAAGACACTTTTCTCCAAGGGGGTGCGGTTTTTAGCTTTTATAAAATTGTCATTTTTTTGCCGCGTAAATCAACTCGCGTAAGACAGAGAGAGAGGGGGGGGGGGTCAGTTACTCCCTATACTGGTTCGTTCCAATTGTTTTGTTCCAATTGTTTTGTGGGGGGTGTGAGGAGTGGTCCACTCCCCCTAGAAAAGTTTACAGTTTTGAGATGCTATTTGGTGCTTTCTGGGCACTTTCAAAGTGTAAGTTTCTAAGTAGTACGCCACCACCACGGGAATAAGAGTTGAGTGAATAAATATAAAAAACCGAGCATTCAGGGGGTTCTGGGGGTTCTCCCCCAGGAAAATTTTGAAATTTGGTTGTATTTGGAGTGAATTTGCAACCATCTGGTACGCCTGTGCGTTATGAGTCAATAAGAAAAATGTGATTTTTTTCAAATTCTTTTGGGGTGTCAAAGAGGATGAGAGGGTGAAGTGGGGTGGGGTGCCAGTAGGGGAGCAAGGGGTTGTCGCCCAGAAACATTGACCATATCAAGGTGCTATTTGAAGATGTCTGGGCACTTAAAAAATGTCTGAGACAATACATGAAGTTCAGAATATTTTCTTTTGTTTTGTGGGAGATGTGAGGGGTGGCTATATAACTCTCCTAGAAAATTTTTTCAATTTAAAGATGATATTTGGTTAAAGTGTACTAGTCAATAAAAACATTGAAAAACAATCACAATTTTTTTCAAATTTTGGGGGTGTCAAAGGGCGGGGAGGGGTGCCAGAGGGGGAGGTCGGGCTGGGGTGCCAGAGGGGGAGGGGGTGTTTGTCCCCCATATCAAAATTTACAATATCAAGGTGCTATTCGATGAAGTTTGGGCACTTTAAAAGTGTCTGTGCCTAAAAGTGCCTATTTCCCAAGAAAATTTTACAATTTTTAGATGCTGTTTGTTGCTTTCTGGGCACTTTCAAAGGGTATGAGACAATAAAAAAATTTGAAAAATCTCAATGTTAAGGGAGGGGGCTGCCAGAGGGCGAGTAAGTGTTAGTCTTCCAGAATCATTAACTTTATCAAGGAGCTATTTGATGATGTCTGGGCAATTTAAAAGTGTCTGAGACAATACATAAAACAAATTCAGAACTTTTCCATTGTTTAGTTTGGGGTGTGAGGGGTGGCCCACTCCCCCTAGAAAATTTTACAATTTTATGACGCTATTTGGTGCTTTCTGGGCACTTTCAAAGTGTATGAGTCAATTAAAGAATTTGAGAAAATCACAATTTTTTTTTTTTGGGGGGGGGGGTCAAAGGGGGGGGGTCAAAGGGGGGGGGGGGGGGGGCGCCAGAGGGGGGGGGGGGTATGCAAGTGCAAGATGCATGAGGGGGAGTAAGTCCCCCAGAAATACTTACTATATCAAGGAGCTATTTGATGATATCTGGGCACTTTAAAAGTGTCTGAGACAAAACTCTAAAATAAATTTAGAACTTTTCCATTGTTTTGTGGGGGGTGCGAGGGGTGGCCAATACCCCTAGAAAATTTTACAATTTCAAGATGCTATTTGGTGCTTTCTGGGTACTTTCAAAGTGTATGAATCAATGAAAAAAAAATTACCAAAAGAATATTTTTCAAAAAAATATTTTTTTCACATTTATTTTGGGGGATGACAAAGGGGGGTGCGGTCGCACCCATCGCACCCCCCCCCCATCTGACGGCCCTGTCAATATACAAATCGAATGTATTCTCGTGTGCATTACAATATCCACATTGAAACATTTTTGGCCTGCAATGGACGTATAATGGATTAGAATTTGAGGCCGTGTTATCATTCAAATGTAAAGTCATGGTATTGGGTTGCAAGTTAATATCAGATTCAATGCAAAGTAATCATTTAATATCAGATGCGCGATCAGTCCAATAATGTAATTTCGGGTCATTAGTTCGATATCTAGCAGTTGTTCTAACGACACGGTATTACTAGGCTATCGTGTTATAAATACACACACATATAAATAAATCAAACTGGTACACGATATAAGCACGACTGCTCTTTCAATTGAGTATAAATGTTGATAAACTTACCCGGAAGCCAACACATACACGTTTAGACGATGCTATTTTCAGTTCAGTGTAAGAGTAAATGCCCGGATATCGAAGCTTTTTCGTGTAAAGTTTTAACCAAGCATGTAGTATCGGGTTATATTGCGTGTAGAATTTATCGATATCAGGGCCGCTACATGCCAGTGAATATGTAGCTAAGTGTTTAGACTTCATCTGATGATGTAATAATTAAACATGATAAACATGGCATTTTGTATTTCGTGACTCCTAAACAAAACAAAAATTCAACACCACATGATAAACATGGTATTTTTGTATCTCGTGACTCCCAAACAAAAACAATACGACTCAATAATATTATAAGTTATTGAATGATTTGAAGTGCAATACAGGACATATTCTACTCTAGAAATTCCGTATTGAAACGACACAAAGTCGTATTTTATTTTATTTTACAGATCATACGATAATATGTAACCGGTGGAAACAAGTTCCCTTATTTTTGTTAGCAAAAACCCAAACTAACCCAAACTACGTAAACATGTTTTTTTGCAACTAAAGCAAGCTAGCAACCCCATACAGTTATTAGAAGGCTTGTAAACATAGATTCTTATTTCGCATACATCATATATCAATATCATTCAAATTCGAACTAAATATAGTATAACAGATGCAGCAACCAGTAGGCTTGTAATTATTAAGAATAATTATAAATAAACATGTATACATCCAAATGCTCAGTTGGAAACAGCAGGTAGCGCATATTCACAATAATCTACGTATGCGTACAAAATAATAAGGTATACGCTTCAAAATACAACCGTTAATTATCAAAATTCTAATTATTTGAGAGGGTACGCTTCTATTCATAGCAGTTTTCAATAATATCATACCATACCAGACCCATTTATTTTTACTTGGCTTTTTTCTAGGAATTCAAAAATAGGGACCGGAAAACGGGAAGGGCAAGAAGGAAGTACTATATTTATAGTATCCGGGAGAGTTAATGAGTTTCAGTAGGATTTAAGCGAACAATTAACGTCACCATTTAAGCGAACGTACAATTAAAGTCATCATCAATCCTTATACAACCAGAATGAGCGAAACACCACCAGAGAAATTAGAGAGATATTGGAAACCAGAGTATTTTGTTTCTGAAGATAACCCTCAGGCCCGTAGCCAGGATTTGAAAAATTCCAGGGGGGTTCACTTTTGACAATTTTGGTTCAAAAATGGCCAATATCACTTAAAAGTGCTCAGAATGACGAAAAACGGCATGGTTTTGAAAGAAGTTTTGGCCAGGGGGCTACGGGCCTGACCCTATTTGATTTTCCCCATCATTATGACTGACTTATGAGAAGTTCTATTGCTTTACAATCTTGCTTTGGTACAGTATGTCCCGATATAACCTCGAAGCACTTAAGTGTATGAGATATGAATATCATCGCCTGAAAATCAAATACAGTATTTTACTTTCGTAGTTAGTAAGGAAAACTAAAATTGTAAATCCCCCGTTGCCACAGTTTTGTTTTTTTGGGGGGGGGCGGTGTGACGTATATACTCTTAATGGGAGAATTCATTTATAAGGTTAACTAAAATAGGATGACGTATTAACGAGTAATGTTACACATAAGTGACAAGTAATTTGCAGAATCAATCACTATTAACAAGTTAGCCAATTGGAAAGTTCGAATTTTCAAACTTTTTTTTTGGGGGGGGGGTGTAAGCGTATATTACCTGAATGGGAGAACGTATATCTGATAGATGTCGTATACGATGATTGAAGCGACAGCGATGACTTCCGCGGAACCCGTAGACATCACCGCCATGAGGTTGAGCATCAGAAGAACATACTCGCCGGATGACCCTAGTAGTACCTGTGCAACAACTGGCGGAACTAGACCTAAAAGAAAATCAGAATATTTCAAAAAATGGGCACAGATGCAAAGCAACTAAAGATTGTTCATATCACGGAGATGGCCGAAGATGCTTCAATGAACCAATCAAATTCTTTGAAACATCTTCGACTATCTTCGGTTGAGGTGCAAAAAGTTACCTATACGACAATCAGAATATTTCAAATATTTTGAGTTTGAGGAAAAATACGGTAAGAAAAACGTGTTTTACTGTCCATATGGTGAAATCTGTTAAACCATTTTATAATTGTTGAAACAAAATTGCGAATGTTGTGAACTTTATAATGAGGGCTGATAAATAATTAATATTATGAAAACAAAAAAGTTCAAATATTGAGTCATCAAATATCAATGTGAAAGGAAAATGAATCATGAATTATTTGAAGGAGGAAAATCATGAATCTCGAAAGAGTATGAATGTAGGACTAAATCAATAATTGCGCACAATTTATTTTCAAACGCTCTGCCATTTCCCGTGTTTTGATTGAAAAATTAAGCAAATTTGCAATAAAAAGTAATATAACAGGGCGTGAAATTAGGCGAGGCAAAAAGACTTGGTAAAAACTAGAACTCTTAAGGAGGTAATTCTACCTCTGAACACCACTACATCATTTCCATAATCTTTACCAGAAAAACGTCTGAAAATATATTTCTGAAAAATATTGGTGAGTCACTTCGCCTCGCCTGCATGAAACCTGGCTACGCCTATAATATAACGATACTAGGGAGTTTAAGGTACACGTTTTGAAGAAAACCTTTACTGTACGTGAGTGTGTGATATTTCGACCCCCGGGGATTAATGTCCCGCTCTCAATTCACTCCAAGAACCCAATTACAATTATTTTCCATATCTTTATACTCAATCGGGCAACTAATATAAATAGTACAAATGGGAGAACTAATCCACAGAGAACCACTCAACATGTTCACAAATAAGTGTATCTTAACCTCCCTATAAATGAAAAAACTATCCAGGATATTGATTAGACGCAATCTTTTCAATGTGGTGAAAGAAAATTAGCGATCCTTTGGAGTAAATGACGTAGATGCGAAGTATATATAACTCCTTATCGATCAGGGCTGGCTTCACAAAATTTCCTGCAAAATGGTTTATGATTGAATTCAGCCATTGTATTCGGGACAAGGGCTTATTTAATTGAACAAAGAAATTTTCTTTTTGATCGCAATATTTGCGTGTAATATTTAACTTATTTCAACCGTCAAATTCCTCCATTTTTGGTACTTCCGGGCCATTTCCGGGTCAGTCAAACGTGGAATCCCCTTTTAAATCCAACCGCCATCTTGGAAAGTGATGGAATATCTCTCGATGAAAAAGAAAAATGTTACCGTTCTGCCGATATACCCAGACAATTGTGGATTCAACTACACGAAAAGAATGCTAAAATACCCAGGAATGAATTGAAGTAGGTATCTTAAGTGTAAGGGGCGTAGGTAATTCTCCAGAGTTGTAATCGTACAGGCAAAAGAATGCGCTCGTTACAGGACTATAGTCCTGGCACGGGATAAGCGTTAACATCAGTTCAATATCATAATTTTAAACCTTCGGAAATACTATTAAAGTTACTCGATCCAAACTTGTAGAGAATACCCATAAAACTACAGCGAACATTAGGAGATTCAGTTCAATGGCAAATGAGGCCTGTTTATAAAATTTGTTTTCGAACGTGCCAATATGAAAGGTTATCTTTGGGAAATCTCCCCCCCCCCCCCTGATAGAACAGTATAAGGCCGAACGCCAAATACATTGAAATTGCAAACGAGGAACGTTTCGGGTATTACGTTCGCCCTTGTTTTGGGATCGTCTTAGAGCTTTATGTTTTGCTCAGATTAATTCAGATCTCGGCAGGTCAAAACATAATCTATGCAAAATTTGGAATATACTTTGCTAAAATTGAAACAAGTCTAAGTTCATCTATATCTTTATACAAATATTTTAACCATTTCAATTCTACAAGGGTCGATCAATATATTTGTGCTACTTTTTCTCACCGGCATTATTTAGTTCTTGAGTACGGTACTTATGTAGTATACGTGACCATCACTTTATAAAGTTATTAAAACCTTGGCTCTAGTCGTAATATTTTGTCTTTCTATCAAGACTTACATCCGACTCCCAGGAAGGATGTCAAAAAGCCCATGATATACTAAATTCTACCAAGTTAATATTGATCTTTCTATTGGTTCACATCATAGAAGTGGACCATGGACTCAGAGGCGTAGACTAGCGCACAACGAAGGTCTTTTCGTATGTGTTTTTAATACGTTACGAACTGTGACCTCATTTGCCGCCTTACAAATGGATGGAGGTCATATACCGCTATATGTTACTCCTTCATGTAAATATATCATTTCGCCGAGAATACAGAATATGGGATACAACACACACCTTGCAACAATGACATCATGAGGGTTATTTCCGATAAATTATTGAGCAGTTTATCATCTTTTGAAATTAAATATGTACAAAAAGCGAATTTGATTAAGCCGTCAAAGTCCGACATAAAGATTTTACAGCACGGTAATAGAATTCCTAAAAACCGTTACCCTAGGGTATTCGTTCGACTTCACTTCTTAAAAGAGAGCTTCGTCTTCAGTATAACTAGACTCTGAGCACAGGGTAAAAACTAAAAACCGTTTATGATATCATCGATATATCAAATCCATTCTGCCAATTTTTTACGTCCAATGATTTTTGACTTATTTTAGTTCTTTGGTTCTTTAGGACTTCGGTGACAATTTTGGCAAGTTAGAGTAAAGAGCGGGAATCTGGAAATCTTATTTCTTATGTTAGAAAAGTTGAGAGTACGCACGTGCGTACTTTGCGTACATGGAGCTTACGCCACTGTTAAACTAAACATACTTTCAAGATCCCTTTCTAATTATTGACTAACTTGCTTTAATCCAGACAACTCATACATAACTTCCAAACAAACTTATCAGATGATGATATCAGACTGATTGGTGCAGTAACATATGGCCACAACGTCGGAGCTTATCTAAAAGGTTGTAATAGATTGAGATTATATCTTTTTGCATTAGTTGTTGTTTCAATTTGATTTCAAAAACACGAACCAATAAACCGTTTCGAAATATCCCGTACCATGGATTTATTGGGAAAAGACAACACGCTTTGCATTCATTTCTAATTCCATCGCGGCCTCTTCCCCGGCATTCACCTGGAAATTGACAAGTGGACGAGCGTTTCAAAAAAGATTATTCTCTGAAATAGGCCTATTTCTAAAATGAAATCTTGATTATTAAAGCTTTAATATAACTCAAAATTCACTCATCAAAATTCTCAAAAAATCAACCAATTTTATTTAATCGCTTAATTTAAAAATATTCATTTTGCCAAAGTTGGTTTACCTTTAAAGACCAAAACCAGCTTAATTAATAGCTTCACCCTGGGTTTCTACTCAACAGAAATTTCTAGGCCTTTAAGTCAAGACGTAAATTAAATAGACGGAAAATAAATAAGCTCATTCTCAAATAACATACACTCCCCTAGCTAAGTGTGGCAACCAGAAATCCCCTTTAGGATCAAATATTATAACTTGTTAATGTTTAGCGATTTAAAAAAATCATCAAAGTCATTTACCTTACTAATATAATTGAGACACAAAAGATGTGAACATTGATCCACTCGATTACGCTGGTTACCAAAACGGTTCGTTTTGATAACAAAATGTCGGAACATCGAAGGTACGATTTTTCTTTTTTTCCCTTATTTCACACGTTGTAGGCAGAATTCCCACGACAAACGTGTATCAGTATCATATGCTTAAGAAAATGTACATATTAGCGAACTAATAGTTCAGAAGACAACAGAATCGTCGATTTAATTACTCACTTAAGTTACATAAACGGCTTTTCGAAAAACGGTTAGATCTGCACTTTTAACCCAAACCGTTTATGTTACTTAAGTGACGAATTAAATCGACGATTCTGTTGTCTTCTGAGCTATTTTTTCGCAAACATGTACATTTTCTATAACATATGATACTGATATACGTTTGTGAGAGAAAAGGTCGTGGGGATTCTGCCTACAACGCGTGATATAAGGAAAAAATAAAAATCGTACCTTCGACGTTCCGACATTTTGTAATCGAGTGGATCACCAGTGAGGGTGTGTTAGGCTATCAAATAAAAACTTCCGGTTTCCAAACTCATTAAGGGGGAGTGTACTTGCGGAAATACACGAAACACAAGTTACCGGTAGAAATTTCATCTTTAATTGATAGATAACGACCGCGGTGGCTAGCGGTTGAGATTAACATATGATGTTATGTTTCTGTTCCAATTCTCAGGTCAGCTTTATATTTAGATTTCGCCGTCAATAACTGTTTTACAATCCTGATTCTACGGCAGCTGTGTTCTGGTGTGTGCATTCAAATATGGTATCAGGTTAGATAGAAGTAGGAATAAATCTACACATCTGAATCCAACTGCCTTTTTATCGATATAAGATTGAGTTTCAAAATATGCCTCGCCCTAGCAGTTCAATGGTCGATATTTTAGCTACGATGGCCTCGATCGACCAAATAAAGGCCCTCAGGCCAATATGAAGAACATGTTATTATCTATTTTATTCCTCTTAAAACTTCATGAGATAAAAAACGTAAATCTTTTTGCACAAGTTCTATAAAGATTTTGCTTTTTTATAAAGAAATGTAAAGTAATCTATTTTATTAAGGCGTTGCGTGTTGTTCATGTGTTTTTACAAGAAAACCCAGGAGATTTTTTTTAATCTTATATCAAATTGAAAGTGCATTCATAAATATGAAATGTTAAGGCCGAGACTGGATTTTGGATGATCAGATTGCGACTGAAGACGAAGCTCTCTTTTAAGAAGTGAAGTCAAACGAATGCAAAGGGTACGACATTATCGTAAACTCTGGCTTACATTTAACCCGACAATTAAATTGTAAGGGTTTTAAGAACCAGTCAGACAAGGTCAGGGGAGTTGAGCAAATTCAGGATATCGGATATCCTTATTCGGTTTATTCAAGTTGCATAGCGACAAGATTTGAGGGATCATCTCAAAGACTTTCCTTTTAGATTCGTAGATCCGCAATCCACATTATAGACAAGGAAATATCCAAGAATTCACAGATGGACCTGTCTATGACGTAAAAATGCCTATAGAAGCCAATAGATGTTCATTTTGGTATCGAAACAGGTTTACCAATGTATCCTTGGGTATTCAGTGGCGGATCCGGGGGGGGGGGGGGGGGCATGGGGACCATGATTCCCAGATCTGCCCCTGTTGTAAGTAAACAAAAAAATTTAGCACTATCATAAATTCGAAGCAGTTCGAACTGAACTGGTATTTACATGTAGTATGCTTCATATTTGGCCTTGCAATTGTTTTTTTCCATCAAGCCAGTGTTATGAAACTGACTAGTACTACATTTGCACATAGCTAATCAAGGTTTGTCCAATTCCAGCCAATCAGAACAAGCTATTTCATTATAACTGCATTGCATTTTTAGTGCTTTTGCATCTCGTGCAAAGTTTGAAACGACACTTTTAAGAAATGATAATCAGCCCATAATGCACTGAGACCCGGACTTAGATTCTTTATTCATTACTCGACTGTGTATGGTTACACTACGCCTTGATTGGTCTACACACGTAGGTGACAATACTGATATGCCTAGCGCTGTGTTAACTGTCAACGTATGTTATGAAATAGATAACCAAAATGCTGCAAATTATGCTAAACAAAGGGATCCTACAGTATTATCAATGCAACGTACCTTTATCAACATCCACTGGAGAAAGTAGAGGTCCGCCTCGTAGAGTCCCCAAGGCGAGATACGACAGTCCCATCGTGGTGGCGAGAGTAAATGGAATGGCGAACCACGTCAGACCCCCTGCGATGAAACCCCAGACCCCCTGGACGGGTTTAGCCGCTACGCTGCTCTGCCAGTAGGACTGATCGCAAAACACGGTCCCGAAATTGCCAATGATGTTGATCACCCCAAACATAGCGCCTCCGGAAGATAAAAACGTGAGATAGCTGTTTTCTTTGTTACCCTCGGGGCCGACCGTTTGGTTGAGGTACTGATAGATGATATCTACGTTACCGAGAGGATTATTCTCCCGGCCGCTGGGGTTATAATAGACCTCGATGACGAGCAATATGACCATGCAGAATATAAGCGTCGTGTTGAAGTACGACACGTAAAACGTGGCACCCAGTCCACCTATGAGTGTATAGGACCCGAGGACAGCGGCCAATATCATACACGTCAGTTCTAAAGAAAGGTCCTGGACGAGGCTTGTCATGACGGAAGAACCAGCAAGGAGTAAGGAAATCATCACAACGAGGTTAGTGAGACAAGCGAACACACAGAATACAACATGTGCAGGTTTTCCAAATCGAGCTCTTATGACCTAAAATAGAAAAGGTATTTTCAGTTAGTATTTCTTTACATGCATATTTTTTCTAAATGTATTTTTTGTAGACATTTATTGTAATATTTGGTATGAGACAAATGGGTGACTTTTGGATGAAGTTTGGACATTGTTATGACAAACTAATATTACAGTATATCACAAGAATAACAATAAACACGTATAAAGTATACCTAAACGTTTGTACAAAAATGAAAATGATACAAATGGGAACGTTTGTTATGAAATGACAAATGACAAATATATCATTAATGAAATGACAAACATACAATCTAACAATGCAGTAGTTAACGGATGAATAATATAAATTTCATTGTAGAAAAATTGTATATTGTATTATCTTTACAATTGTACAATTGTCAGGTGGAAGACGATCCTAATATATATGATCTACAATATGTACATTACGAGGATTTATTCAAAAGTAGCAGGGATTATTTTCGAAATTTACTAAATGTTACACCGATCGGATAAATTTTAGTACCCATTACTTTTGGATCAACCCTCGTATATAACCCTTTCATCTCATGCAGTTATCGAAATTATTGATCTTTGTTTATAATGTTTGTCACGTAATGAAACACAATTTAATTGAATGATGAAAACACGTGGAAAAGTTGCGTCAATAGATTATGCATGTGATCTCGTAGAATATCCAAAATGTGTTTTTCAACGTGATTACCCAGAATGATTTTTACAGTAATAATATATAGACACATGCATGTAATCTAGATGGCGCGCTTTATCAATTGGACCCAGAGCAGATTGCGTTTTTTGCAAATAATAGTAAAGGTGGGGGCTATTTAATTTTTTGAAATAAGATTGTATCACGTTTATCAATATTCTCAAAGTTGTGGCCATTTTGGCGAAGAAACTCTGTCACTAGCTTTAGTTTGATTGTCGCTCTTGGAAATCAAGGAGTTAACATCAAGTAAATATGGTGCGAAATTGAGCTTTTGGATACACTTTCGTATATGGTTGAATACAAATCAGTGAAGGTATTGCTGCGGGTGCTTATCGATCAATGTGTGGAATGAGGAATATAGCGGCTAATAAGGTAGCAATACCGGGTTCCAAGGGAATATTCTCTCATGTTAATAATCTTAGGAACTGCGGGGCCAACCTCACGATGACTAATCTATTTCTAATATTGGATGGGCTGACGATATAATGAATCGTCCTTGTGATACAGCTGTTGATATTAAATTCACCCCCTCCATAAGTTTGGTGACCGAAAATACCCACTGAATGGCTTGTAGTAGCCCGTTTCAGGGAAAACATTCAATGAATAGTAAAGGTCCGGAAACGAAAAATTAGCATTTTGACAAAAAAGGCTTTACGATGAGCTCCAAAGGGAGTTATCGGTTGACCAAGTTTATTTTTTGGGGGGTGTATATTAAGGTACTTGATAAGTAGTACCACCTTGTAACATGTATATAAGCAATCTGCTTTTTTACATTTTTAAATGGCTCACATCACAAATAAGAAATACTCTGCTACGCGAGTGGCACCTCTCGCAACAAAATGGAAGATCGCCCAAGAGGGTTCGATGACGATCACTGTATAGAAACGATGAACACTTTATTGAAAGAATACCCGTGAAAATAATATTTGCCGATGACTTCAAAAGGAGGAATATACATAAATGAACCCATCTCCATGGAGAGACGAACTTATAAAGATTCACCAGAACATGGAGGTAGGCACATCTTAGTATCCCGGGGTCTTTCTTCCCGTTAGTCTGAGTATTTGTATGATTGTACCGAACGGAACGAGATAACTTCTAAAAATGATAAACTGCGACAGGGGCCGATCGCGTAGCAGAGTATTCACACTGTGACAAAAGTCAATTGGTAAATTACTGATGAAAATTACCACTGATCCATCTCGCATGTTGTAATCTTCCTTTAGGGTCTGAATCCCCCGTTGATCTAGTAAAAGGATTGAATAATACATATGCAGTGAGTAAATTTATATAGCGAGCCATACATGAAAGTATGAAATAACACTGTTGCAGAGACATATATAATGTCTCTGCCTGTAGGCAGCAACCATCCCCCACCCAGCATTTCTAGGCAAAATTCTCCAGTTATAAGCAATATTCTTCAATTTCTTGTGATATTCAACAGTTGGCTTATGCAAAATTCCTAAACACGGCAAAGTTCTTACTTCTAAAATTGGAATTTGTGACCTCCCGCATGAAATTTTTCCAAAAATTCCAGTTCCCATGATGAAAGCTGACTACGGGCAGACATACTCATTTCGACAATTCAGAAAGTTAGTAAATTGTTCAAAGGAACGATCAATATGTAAAACTACTTGTATCTAAATCTCAGATACGTCATACTCAAACGGATTATCCCTTTACCATCGTCGCTTGTTTATATCAGGATACATTTACGACCATCGCCTATATAGGTATCTTTCGAACTCGAACGGGAGTTTTTTTCACCGAGCTACTTTCCGGCGTAGAATTTTAGATTGGTATTTGACAAAACTAAAACTTTAGATGGGGGAATTGGGGAGTTTTCCCAAAGTTCAGGACGGTTTGCATTGGACCACATAGTATCCACGTGATAGACCCATAAAAGGCTTATACATGATAATCAAGGTGACAATACAGGAATCCAACTCGATGTTGTCCGCCATTTTGAATGTCATGTGAAAGATCCGTATAAGGCTTCTAGGACCATGTAGGGAAAGCAACAAGTAAGGAAAAGCTGATACATTGCATTACCAAATAAATAATGGGAGCTACTAACTTCTTCTAGTTCAAAGAGATTAGAGTAAAGATGGAAACGAGAAAATTTAAATCGTGACTCCCTACCACGTTCGCCATTTGAAAGATACAGCAAAAAGCCGAACGTGTATTCTGATACATACAAGTGATCGCCTGTCAAACAACCAAGACATATCCTACTTTCTCAAGTCAGGAGAAGCCATGGTGCAAAACCTGTGTTTAGTGATCGATCTGAAACTGTAGAATGCATGTTAAACAATTTGTTACAATCTTCATTCCCTCAGTTATTAATATAAATTACGCCCATATATATAGTATAGGCTAATAACAGTATTAATAAAAGCTGGTGTAATTATGTAAGATAGGGATATCTAGTGAAACAAATGTTTAAAATCCAACACCTTTTCGACAGTTGGAATCCCTCGCATCGGTTTATATGATGAAAATGGTTCTTTCAATATCACCACGGTGTCCAACTCAAACGCTGTTACATGCACGACGGAGCGTTTCATTCACGCGGAAACGCTGTGGAGCGAAATAAAATGGCGGTTAATGAAGATCCCACTATGACCGTACGTATTGTTTCACTCGTTTCTCTTACATATCATACGTTATGGTGACATACATTATTGTGTACCATTCAATGAACTATATCTTATCCATTCTTTCTGTTATTTGCTTGGACAAGGCTCCATAGTGGAGATCGAACGAGTCTGAAGTTGACGAATTGACCACAAATTACGAATTAAACTATTATTTATATGAAAACGTCAATCTTTATGTCAAAATAGTAGATCACAAACTCGTATATTCTCATTTGCTAAAATCCCAATCCAAATCCATCACTTGTTCTCGAGAAATCGTTGTTTTCCTCGAAACTATCTGTCGATTTTGAACACAATTTTAGAAACGCTCTTACCATTTTGTTTTGATATTATATTCAGATTATTAGAGAAGAGTTGAGAATCGAATCTTTCACTCAAAAACGTGTTTTAATTGTTAGGCAAATTAAAACTTCCCAATCTGGTGGTGCTACACGCGCAACAAACAGACTAAGCCTAAATTAGATGATGTTATGCCTACATGTGTGCTAAAACATAAAAGCTGTTGACAAAAAAAGTTTAAATATCAAATCTTTTGATGCCAAGGGGTATAATATATCTTTTCTTTCTCTTCCTGAAAAGGAATGTCAAGTTAATTCCTAAACATTATATCTAGACTAGTACCGCAGCGTTTCGAGTGCACTGTGTTAACCAGATCGCAGCGTTTCTTGAACATGAGAATGTCATCATCTTAAGGACTGGATTTTCGGTCATCAGATCACAATTACGATAATGTATGGTGTGTTAAAGTTTTGAAATTTGACCAAATTATACTTTCATGCTCTAATCATGACTCAACTAATGTCTCGACAAAAAGGGTTTTAATTAGTAGAATGACAAATATATACGTTTATGAATTTTGATAAATATACTGCTTCGTACAGCTCTTCCTAATTGCTTCAAACGTCAACAGCCAGCCAAGTACAACATGGATACCACACCCATCGAATGGTATACTCGAAATAAGTAACACATACCTCGTATTCCCATTATTTGGGAAATCGTCAGACAACTCATCATTCCCATTTTTCCTACTCCGGAGCGTTTTTGTTATAAGTTTCAGTAATGAAATGCTCCGTCGTGCATGTAGGAGCGTTTGGGTTGGACACCGTGATCACGTGCTTTAGATCATTTCGTTCAGTTCGTGTTCATTCGTTGCTATACCAACGAATATTGATTTTGGAAACGATCCAGTGGGAACAACTTCCACGGCAGATGTAATTTGGTTTATATTTTCAAAAGGCCATTATTAAAGGCGGAATCATGAATACCATCATCTTCGACTTTGAATGTACTGTCGTGGTTATTATTGATTGAAGTTAGAGCACCTTAGTTGTGAATCAATATGCTTAAGATAAAGTTGCATTCAACATATTCGATTGGCGGACCATTTTTTCTCAAATATATTATCCCAGAAAGAACTGTGATATTTTATCAGATACCTTAAGGATATCAATATAGGTAGAGCAATAAACATATGAATGTAATTTTTTCTAATTAATTATGAAATAAGATCGGAATCATCTTCCATTACATACATGTCACTGGTTTTATGCAAGGGGCCAACAATTTTGTAGGGCCTCAAAATGAGATTTTTGGGCATAATTTTCCCTTTAAGGGCTTTTTAGGATGATAGGAGTCCAAAATGTTTCCCTGACTCAAAATGTCCCCCTCCTTATTAGATTTGATCCGCCAGTGCATGTATGCATATTCTTTCCAAAATAGTCTGGAACTCGGGGCCCAGCGCTCGAAAGATAGAAAATAGAAAATATAGAAATGACAAGGAATGAAATCAAGCCAAAAAATCACTACATGAACATGTAAAATATGAAAAATATTTTTGTTTTTGAAATGGTTCTTGCTGGTTATTACGCCTTTATGGTTACTTGTGCCAAAGGCCTACCCGTTGCGATGAATCAAATTTCGAAACATTTCTTGGCAAACTGTAAACGATAATTATTTCAATCCAACGTATTAATTCAGAACTATGTTAACACATGAATTCACAACCAGACAACAATACAGTAGTAAACCAGGTCATAGTCAACCCCTTGGTCAATTTTTTTCAAAATCATGCAACTTTTCACCAATCTCGGCAAGTGGTTTTTGGCCAAAGTTGTAAAATATGTCCCCCTTGAATTTCTTGAAAAGTGACCCCTCCCCTTGACAAAAGCTGGCTACGGGCCTGTAAACTATTTAACCACCGTTTGATAAAAAACAAACAAAAAGAACCCCGGCATGTACTGCCCATGATTCAAACACGTCCAGAATTATTGTAAATGAACCATCAAAATGAAGGGGGGGGATGGACAAGTAATATGACGATGACTTTTTTTTACTTTTAGAGCCCCTCCTCCCGGGCTTTCACAATACATACACTGAACGAAATAATTTGATAATATTATGTTATTAAACAAACGCCAAAGCACACGATGAGCATGAGGTAAGAACGATGCGAGGAGTCCCAGACTTCAATTGTCCACCATACTTAAATAACATTTTAATTCAACTTAAGTATATTATTTACATTACCTGCAGAAATGTCTTAGCTCCGGGAGCCTTTGTCTTCAACTGTATCGACAAGGAGGCGAACATCAAAATTTGTATCGTTGCCCCCGCCCCATACCAAAATGGGCCGCTTATACCATACTAAAATTAAAGAAATAAATCATGGAAAAATGCAATAAGGGGCCGCGTAAACCATACCAAAATTGAAAGAATAAATTATATCAAAATTGCCAGAATTGGCCGCTTATAAATACCATACTTAAAACAAAGTACAGATCACCTTCTTCCGCATTGGGGCAATATATCTGGCTTAAACTGGGATGAAACTGCCGGATGGGTTTTAACTATGAGAGCGAGATCCAAGACAAAAGGAGTGCCGTATTATCTTTGGTTGTTTTTAACATTTCAACAAATATGTAAGCTGGGAAATCCGGTATCGTATGGTCTGATTTTGCTTCTTTAAAAAAAGAACTTGTCGATTTTTAATATGTATATTTATATGTAATGCGATTAATGACACCAATGCACTTGTGCCTTGTGTGTTAAAGGTGCAACAATTAGTGCAGGAGGGCCATTCAACGATCATCGACCAGTGTCAAAATATATTTAAGTTTGGATATTTCATCAAGACTAACATATATTTTCATTATCTACAAAGAAACCCCCTGGATGAACATTATTTCAGCTGATATTCCTCTTGAAACGTGGTGGATATTAAAAATCTATAAGTGGGACTCCCTTTATAGAAGCTTTGAACTGAATTTACACTTCTTAATGCTGAAATTGATAGTATAAACATCCATTTTACGAAAATAGGTATGACAAAGAAGGTGTTAAGCCAAATGTTGCCCTGATAGCTCAGAAAAAAAATTCGAATTTTCTCTCTACACTCCTTGTTGCCCCTTTTACTTTTTGATTTAGACTTCTCCCCTCAATCAAAGTCTAATGCATGACAACCGTGCTCAAAATCGTCTACAATTACTTTAGCCCTGAACTTAAATTCCTCAGTTGTGTCAAACACGTTTATTCACAAATATCAGCTCCGAGATATCATGGATTTCTAGTATCAAAATGTTTCAAAAAATTGTTTCATGATGACTTGCACAACATGAAACAAATGATATTTGAATGCCATGAGGTTAAACCCTTGTGGAATAAAATTGGAAGAGTGTTGAAATGCGATATTCAATATTTTATGTATTATATGTATATTGTATTAATAATATATGTATTGTTGTAATTGGTTATCCATCCGGAAACGGTGTCTAAATATAAAAGCATAATCTTTACAATATCACGATTGACTATATTCAATAATGCCTTGGTCACATAGGCTCCGATTTTCACCACGGCGCCCGGCCGATGGAGTATTCTGTTCAAAATTGAATACAATGTTGAGCAAAACACTCAATCAACCGGGCGCCGGCAGATGGATCAGAGCAAATGTGACCCAGGCATTACTGGTGTAAACGGAAAATCGTTTCATTTAAGTTAAAATGAAACAAATATTACGGGAACACATCAGATATGTGTACACTTTTAATAAACTGGTCGAGATATTGTGGTTGTCCTCAAATGTAAATTATAACGTCCCTATTGACCCCGTCCACTCCCTACAAAATCAATTGCATTTTTCCAATTTTAAGCACATCTTAACTTTTTGTAAACATCCTATTTGTCAGGATATGAACTCAAAATTTGTCCTCAACACGCTATCAATTTCAAATCTTGCTTTTACAAAT